AGTTAGTGTTTCAGGTCCCTGCACCTAACTGAGCTCCTGTTCACAGGAATCAGCAATGCAACTTCATTTAGGGTCGTTTCTTGCTTGCTTTTCTTTGCTTTTGAGGGTTAGAAAATTAGGCCAGGAGGCCACATAGGGGACGTTACTTCCAGAGTCCTTAAGACTAGCCCCTTGACCACATGCCCTGAAGGGGTATATACATACTCAGTAGTTTGCTTGCAGTGAAAAATTGGGCTACTTTTGGGACACAGCATGCCAGGGACATGTTGCAGCCTTTTCCTTTCAGATATGGTGTGAAGATTGGCTCCTCCACCAGCATAATGGGACCTAGCATCCCTGCACAGACGCAGGAGGTGCTCACCAGCCACCTGGCATCTTACAACATGTGGGCCTTACAAGGTATGCACTGAGGTTCCATGGGCCTGAGGGCAGGTGTGATACAAGTGATACCACCCCGTTAGCTCAGCTCCAGGCTCACACCCTTCCAGCAGAAAGTAGGGTTTCTATTTTCCAACAGAAGCCTCAAGTTCTCATCTCCTTGGCCCGACCATCTGTGAAACAAGTCATTGGGTAGGAGTTTGGGGGAGATATACTGATTAGCAAGGATCAGGTCATGTTCTCACCCAGGGACGAGCAGAGGTGGGTCACCTCGAGGAAGGCCAGAAGAGTGGGCTAAATCCCAGGTGGGCCCTGGGTCGATCTCCCACTCCTGGCACCTTTGCCCCATTTACTCCTATTCTTATAAAAGGTGCAAGGACTCACAAGGAATTAGGCTGTAGCAACTGCCCTGTTTTGTATCCTGATGTGGTTTGTGTCCCTGCAGGGATTGAGTTTGTAGTGGCCCAACTCAAGTCCATGGTGCTGACCTTGGGTCTGATTGACCTACACCTGACTGTGGAGCAGGCTGTGCTGCTGTCACGCCTAGAGGAGGAATACCAGGTGAGGTGCCACATCTTGGGTCCCCATCTCACCCCTTCCTAATACACACCAACCTATGTGGGGTGTGGCCAACCTATCTGAATTTTTTTTTTCTACAGTAGAGGGGATTGAATCCACGGGTGCTTTCCTACTGAGCTACATCCCCAACCTGCTTCTTCCTCTTTTTTTTTTTTTTTTTTTGAGATAAGGTCTTGCTAAATTTCCCAGACTGGCCTTAAACTGCGATCCTCTTGCCTCAGCCTCCTGAGTAGCTGGGATTACAGGCATCTGAAATATTTTTATGTAAACCTGGGCTTTATTATTTTTATGTACATACAGAAATCAAAACTAAGGACCAATAAAAGCATTATTGGGGCTAGGTTTATGGCTCAGTGGTAGAGCACTTGCTTACCATGCTCAAGGCCCTGGATTCTATCCCCTACACCACAAGGAAAAAATGTGAAAAATGCTCAGCATTCCCCTCGCATCCCCTTCTCATTAGTCTGATTAGGTGAAGGCTGTGCTTGGCTGTGCTTCTCTCATTCTACATATGGGGAAACTGAGGCACTAGGTCACACCTCTGGCAAATGTTCTAGTTGGGATTTGAACCCAGGACTGAGTGACTATAGGACCAAGGCCTCAGCTCTCACTCTGTGCCTGAGAGTTCATAGGCCTCATATGCCCTGTAGAGCAGGCCCTGTTGAAATGACTGAGGACCTGCTTGTGCTCTTAAGTCAGTGAAGCAATTACATCTTGACATTTCATCTGACCAACAAAGGAGCATGGGGGTAGCCACTGTTTGTACACAAGTTTTCATTTAATGGGCTCAGAATTAAGGTTTTGCTGTACTGTTGTATGCATTTTTTAACTGAAAATTATGTGGTCCTTGTAGTCGTTTTGTTCCTGATGATGTTATTCCTCAAACCTCAGGTTAATTGCTATTATGAATTGGTTCCTAGTGTGATAAAAACCTTTTTGGAATGTTTAGTTTTCTGCTCGGATAAATGCCAGAGACAAAGCCATTTCTGTATAGCAGAAAAGCCTACTCATTCTCTAGCTGTCAGAACCAATTTCATGGGAAAGGGGTGACCTGTAAGGGTTGTGGGGTTGCTGGGGAGCCAAAAACCTGGGTTCCTGTCTGGGCTCTGCTTTTGACCATGGGACCCATGCCAGCCTATCGTCCTGAATTTTGCAATCCTGCATAACCAGGATTATGGATTTGATGGTATAAATTTAAGGTAAAAATGCCCTTCAGCTACTATATTATAGTTGTGCAAATTGCGATTGGATAAGCCAGAAATGCAGATAGCTTGCGTTGAGTGGCAGATTCTGCCGGGAAGGAGCCAGCAGGCTCAGATTGGAGTCACATTGATGTCTGGACAGCCCCAGTGTGCCCAGAGTTTCCTCCCTCTTTTCAGAGTCCTGGAGAACATGTACAGAGCAGAGACCTCTGCAGTATAGTAGCTCTCCAGGAGTCAGAACTGAGGCTACATGTGGCCTTGCTTGATTTATTTATGCCACCCACATGGAGGATACTTGCAGCCCTGCATGGCAACACAGCTCATAGAAGATGACAGTTTGAGTGCTTGCCTAGCATGCATGAGGCCTTGGGCCTGGGTTTAATCTCCAGCATCACAGACCAAAAGAAGTAGGGGGGGGAGTTGCAGGATGACAGTTGGCAGGCCACCTCACATAAACCTCCTAGTAGGAAGTGTGGGATAAGGGATAGTACACAGGTCAGGCTGCCTCTGCGGGACCTGTGTGGTCTGGTTTAGCCACTGGCCCTAGGACTGGATATACTACTCCCAGACCACCCACACCCCAGAGAGAACAGGGCCTGCCCTGGCCACCTGGGTGTTATTTTTTCTCCATACTGGGGACTAAACTGAGGAGCACTCTGCCACTGAGCTGTCTCCCCACCCCTTTATTCATTTTATTTTGCAATAGAGTCTCACTCTAAGTCGCCCACAATAGCCTTGATCTTGTGATCTTCCTGCCTAAGCCTCCAGAGTAGTTGGGATTACAGGTGTGCACCACCACACCTGGCTTACTGGGTGTTACTCCATGCATCCACTTGTTTTGGTAAGATTAGAGCCTGCTGCCTTCAGCCCAGAGATGGGATTGAAATGTGGCTTAGGTCAGCAGGCTACAGGTCTAGCCATTTACCCAGCCTTGTCTTGTCCTCCTCTCAGATCCAGAAATGGGGCAACATTGAGTGGGCCCATGATTACGAGCTGCAGGAACTGAGGGCCCGTACTGCTGCTGGCACCCTCTTCGTCCACCTCTGCTCCGAGAGCTCCACGGTCAAGCACAAGCTCCTGCAGGAGTGAGGCCTGGACTACTGGATGGAGCCTGCCGTGTTCACATTTCCCCAGCCTGGGACATCTCGGCCCACACCTACAGGGCTCCCCTCACCTTTGGGGCTTAACCTTGCTCGGCATCACCCTGAGATGTCCCCGAGACACACAGTGATTGTCTGAAGGTCAGCCTGATTGCAACCTGGGGGGCCCCTGACCTAGCCAGCTGTGAGTGAGGGGGATGAATTGTACAAATGACTTTCTCTTGATCCTGAGTTTATTAAAAATTTCTTCACCCATTTTCATCTGCGTCTCTACATTTCTCCATTCTTGTTTTGTCACCAAGGTTGAACAGCTTATCTTCCATGGCACATTTTAATATCTGCTGCCCATGGTCAGGAGCTTCATGCTGGGGAAACAATCATGTCACCAACAGACAACTCTATTTGTGTCTTCAGTCCTCAGCCTAAAGGCTTTTTTCCCCCTCATTTTCATCAAACAGTCTTTTGAAAGTGAGTTCTTCTTGGTCTAAACTGGTTGTTTCCATTTTTTCCTACTGTTCTAGGGGGAAAAAAAAGATTTACTCTTGAAAATAGAAAGTATAGTGGTTTCTGGGTTAAAAGTCAGATGGTTCTGGCAAGGCCACCTGATATACACTGCTTTTAGTCTGGTTCTAGAATGTCCCCCAAAGGCCCGTGCTTTCCAGACTTGTTCCCCAGAGTGGCATTGTTGGGAGGTGGAACCTTAAGAGATGGGAACTAGAGAGAGGTGTTTAGGTCATTGTGGATGTGCCTTTGAGAGGGGTGTGGGACTCCAGCCCCTTCCTCTTCCTCTCTTGCTTTCTGGCCAGAGGTGAGCAGTTTTGTTCTACCTTGCACTCCTGTCACGATGTGCTGCCTCACCACAGGCTCCAAATCAATAAGGCCAACCAACCATGGACTGGACCCTCTGAAACTGTGAGCCAAAATAAACCTTTTCTATTTATAAATTGTTTATCTCAGCTATTTGTTATAGTGACAGAGAGCTAACTATGCACATTTCTGCTCATCTTCCACATGGTAGTCCTGAGTGTCCCCCAACACCGCCACCTCCATGGTCCTAGCAGGCCATGGAGTGGTAGCAGGTACCATTTCCTGGTACCAGGTTCAGTGGAAGAGCAGTAGGGAGAGTTTAGGCCTCATAGCAGACTCTGAGCTCCATGTCTTCACGTGTTTATATAATAAAATGTCATTACCCCTGGTCACAGGGCATTGACCCCATGCTCCTCTATTTCACACACACACACTCTGAACCCCTCAACGATACTCCAAGGAGGTACTGTCACAGATGAAGGTCAGGCAGCAAAGGTGACGTCATAGGGCTAGGATGGCCAGCCTGCACCCTTAACTCCTGGAGGGTCATTGGGTCCCTATAGCCAAGCACTGAGCCATAGGGAGCCATGTCCTTTGCCTTGGAGGGCTGGCCCAGCCCCCAGCATTGTGGTGGGAACCTTGGCCTCCCTTGCCTCCCTGGTCCTCAGCACCCAAAGAGGGGAGGGCTATGTGCACATCTGCAGCCTGTTCTGGGTACCAATAAGGGAACAGTACTCAACAGACATCTGCTATTCTGTCACAATCATACCTCCAGCTAACCACTGGCCATCTTGGGACCCACTCTTATTGACTGGCCAGAGACTGCTATTCCCCCTCATCTTTTTTCTTGTTCACATATAGATGTGGATATTCTCTCTCTCTCTCTCTCTCTCTCTCTCTCTCTCTCTCTCTCTCTCTAAGAATAGGAGAAAGGTGACATAAATCCTTTATTTTTCTCTGTATTCGGAACTTTTTCCACGGGTGGGGAAGGAGTAATGTCAAGAGGAGACTTGGGTTAGGAATTCCCAGTAACTCTCCCCAGACGGTTGGTAAATTGAGCCCGCTCCTCAGGTAGGGCTGTCGCGTATTTTGAAGAGGACCCCTGGCATCTAATCTACGATATCGACACATTCCAGGTTGTCCAGCTCGTTCTGCATGTGGTCAATGTATTGATTGATTTCTTTCACTCGCTTGCGGTTCCTCATGATCTCATCCTTGTGAATCTGGGGATAGAAATCAAAGCCCAGGGCCTTCAATCAGATAATTGGTTAATATCTTTTACTGAAGTGAGTTTGAGGGAAAGAAAAATTGTTCTTTGAAATCTCCATAGTTTCCATGCCTCATTTACTTCAGAGCCTCCTTGTGTTCAGCTGATCTCTCTATATTCGATGTAGGAGTTAGAGAAATGATGAAGCACGTGGGTTTGAAAGTCTCTGACCGAGCAACCCTAAGTTTTCACTGTGGAAATCTGTAATCCTTAACTATTTCTTTGTCCGTTTTGTTCCTCATAGAAAACAGTAAGATCCCCATTCGCTCTGGCTGGTAGCTAGAAAAGTTGGCCCAGCTTGCTAGGATGGGTTGGCATTTACTCACTTTGTCTACTAAGTGTGTACACCAAGAGTTGACCCTGGTCACCAGCTCATCTTCTCGATTGTCAATCTTCAGGAGGTGGATGTCATGCGATGCCCCAACAGCATTAACAACCGTGTCTTTGTCGATAAAAAGCTGGTGAATGAGAAGGCCCAAATGAAACTGTGCATGTCATTATGTCCTAAATACAAAATGAGGGGGTTGAATAGAAAAGGGACCCCTGGGAGTCTCCTGGCTGTGCAGGCCGCACCTGGTAGAGAACCTTACCTTTGTATCGGTGTGCTTTGTGCCTGCTCATTTCAGGTGGCAGCCACTTCCCTGACCAGGACAGTGGCAGGTGTTACTCTGCAATCCTCACTGGGAGCATGTTTTCTCCAGGGAGAAGGCAGATGGCTGCCCAGGGCAACCCCACTCAGGACATCTGTTCTCACAAAGCATCTCTCTCAGGGTTTTCAAGTCTGACTTGCCCCAAACCCCTGGGAAGTATGAGGCTGGCCAGAGATCCTGAGGCTGCTCCAAGGACAGCAGGCCCTGCAAACCTGGGGCGTTCACCCCTTATTTGTCATTTCACTGCCTCTCGCGTCAATAAAAGCAAATCTTGGACACTATTTGGGGTCTCCTTCTGCCTTCTCTTGTTCCTGACCTTGTTCACTGCCTTGTAAAAAGTTGTTACAACCAACCATCCTCTAGAAGGCCTGGCTGGTCTTCGGTGTCAACAACTGTAGCTGTCTGTGCCTGGAGTGGTTGAAAATGGAGCGCAGAGCAGGGAGAAGGTTGCTGAAGCACTTAGTAAGCAGCTGCTTCCATTTTGAATCAGAGGTACTTTGTGATGCCAAGAATAGCAAAGGACCTCAATTTTTGTTATAGGGAGGGCTTCAGATGGAATGCATACAGGCAGAGTATCTCTTGTCTGAAATGTTTTACATTCTGTAGTTATGGAGATTTGGGGAATATTTGCATAGAATTTTGAGATTCCCACTTGGAAAATCTGAAATCCGAAATGCTCCAAAACCCATTGTGGATTTTTGAATCAGGGATGCTCAACCTGTACTGGGTTTTTTGTTTCCTCTCACCACCACCACCACCACCATAGTAGCATTTAACATAATGGTCTCCAAACTATGTTTTGTGGAATTTTTTTTTTTTTTGTACCAGAGATTGAACCCAGCACCAATTAACTACTGAGCCACATTCAGAGCCCCCCCCCCTTTTTTTTAAATTTTGAGACAGGGTCTCACTACGTTGCTAAAGTTGACTTTGAATTTATGATTCTCCTGCCTCAGCCTCCGGGCCACTGGGATTATAGGCATGTGCCGTCACTTCTGACTGTTCTGTGGAATCTTGAGCTATTAATATTTCTGCTCTTTGCAGGTATTTTTTGGTCAAACACAAATGAGAAAGCCAATACCTCTAGGCCCCAAATGAAGATTTTACAGGAGACAAAGTATCCTGAAGGCTCTGCAAAGGCCTGCAGAAAATAAACCATTTTAACTTTGTTTTTCTTGGTTTTCCTATTTATTTGACCACCAACCCCATTTCAGAATAATGTCTATGGGATGCAAGTTTTCTACAGAATCCCATGTGGGAAAAGCCAGGTTAGCTAATGTGGGGAAAGAGGTGACTGTGGGACCAGTTGGCATAGTCCCATGGGAGAAATGACTAGCGGTTATTAAGTTCTTACCCTGTTTGTACAAGGTCCTAGGCCAGACTCTGGGAAGGGCTCAGAGATGTGTAAAACTTGCCTACAATAAGCCTCCGTCAGTGTGCTCAAGAGTTAGAGGCCAGGTATTTTAGAAATAGCAATAGCCATATCAACTCCTCATTAAAATTTTCTCACTCTAACATTCTAAAAAAGTGAGTTGTAGTCGGGCTGGAGTTGGTAGCTCAGTGGTGGAGCGCTTGCCTTGCACATGTGAGGCACTGGGTTAGATCCTCAGCACCACATAAAAATAAATAAACAAAATAAAAATATTGTGTCTAGGGGCTAGGGATGTGGCTCAAGCGGTAGCGAGCTCGCCTGGCATGCGTGCGGCCCGGGTTCGATCCAAAGCACCACATACAAACAAAGATGTTGGGTCCGCTGAAAACTAAAAATATTAAAAAATTCTCTCTCTCTCCCTCTCTCACACACTCTCTCTTAAAAAAATATCGTGTCTATCTATAACAATAAAAAAATAAAAGTGAGTTATAATGGTTCTCTCTCTTTTTTTTTTTTTTTTGGTGCTAAGGATTGGGATTGAACCCAGGGCCTCATATGTGCTAGGCAAGTGCTCTACCACTGAGCTACATCCCCAGTCTGAATTGTAGCTATTTTCTTCGGCCACACAGGAAAATAATCCTCCTGAGTTTGAACATATAGAAAATGGCTTTGGAGGCTCTGAGAAGCAAGAGAAATTGAAGTCTGCTTAGAAACATGAGTTAGAATTGGTGATCAAAAACTGGTGTGCCATTTGCAAAATGCAAACAGAAAGAATCTGGCTTAAAGAAATTCTTATGGCTTTTTCTTTTTGTTTTTGTTCTTGAGAAGGGGTCTATGTTGCCAAGGCTGACTTCAAACTCCTGGGCTCAAGCAATTCTTCTGCTTTGTCCTCCCAAGCAGTTGAAACTATAGATATGTACCAACGTGCTTAGCTGAGAGATTCTGTAGAAATTCAAATGGCAAGTTCTTTCTGGATTTGGGGTGGTCTAGGGTGGTGGTCATTTCAGTTTTCTCTCTTGAAATAATTCTTATGGGCAGAATCTTTTATATTCCATTGGGTGTGGTGGCGCACACCTATAATCCCAGTGGCTTGGGAAGCTGAGACAGGAGGATCGCAAGTTCAAAGCCAGCCTCAGCAACTTAGTGAGTCCCTGAGCAACTCAGTGAGACTCTGTCTCAAAATAAAATATAAAAAATGGTTGGGGAGGGGCTGGGGCTATAGCTCAGTGACAGAGCACTTAGCTAGCACAGGTGAGGCACTGGGTTCAAGCCTCAGGACCACATAAGAATAAATAAAAAGGCATACTGTCCATCTACAACTACAAAAAAATTGAAGAAAAAAAAAAAACGGCTGGGGATGTGGCTCAGTGGTTGAGTGCCCCTGGGTTCTATCCCTGGTACAAAATAGAAAGAAAGAAGGAGAGAAAGAAAGAAAGAAAAAAGAAAAGAATATTCTGTATTCCCCTCCAGTTTCTGCAGGAGTAGAGGCAGGGGCTGTGCAAACCCCATGAGGAACAACAGCTCTCTGAGCTGTCCCCCCCCAAAACCATTCTGTGTACCTTGCTGGACTTCACAGAGGTGGCCCCAGGAGCTATAAAGACACGTTTCTTTCAAAGTGATTTCTTTTTTTTTTTTAAACACCTTTATTTTTATTTATTTTTATGTGGTGCTGAGGACTGAACCCAGGTCCTCACACGTTCTAAGTAAGCGCCCTACCGCTGAGCCACAACCCCAGCCCCTCGAAGTGATTTCTTGAAGAGGACTTTTAAAAAGGCACAGGTGGTGCCCCTCCCCAGGATCACTGTGGTGCTGGTAGCTTAAGGATTTGCTGCCCCAGCTGTGTGGGATCAGATCATCCTGTCATACTGGTGACACAGACAAGGAGCAGCCCTTGGCTGGAATCTCATCGCAGCCACCCTAGAGCAGATGCTGGGGACTTGAAAGTTCTCCCCATGGCCATGGTCTGAGCACTTGTCCTGCCAGGTAGTGCATCTGACATTCTTCTACCCTTCAAATAGGCATCTGTGTCTGCCAGAACCACTCTGAGGCCATCGCTTACTGCCAGCCCTAGGCTCTCTCAGCACTTATGTTCTGCTTTTCCTGTCCAAGCTGGAAAGGACTTGAACATACAGGCGTGTGACATGTTGGGGCCCACGTATGGCCGGAGCTGATAATAATCACCAAACTGAATGAGAAGAGTTTTAGAGATAACTCCATCAGTGTGACTTTATCATGATCCACTCATTGATCATCAAGTAACAGCAGTCAGATTTTTTTACCCAAGACCCTATTCCTTCCTTTGAACACTTCCCTCAGGCTCAGTAGATATTTTGTCAAAGTCTTTGAGTCAAACTGCCTGAGTTTAATATCATAGTTCTACTGCTTGGACAGTTTGCTTTAATTTCTGAGCCTCAATTTCCTTATCTGTTTTTTTTTTAATATTTATTTTTTAGGTGTAGATGGACACAACACAATGCCTTTATTTTTATGTGGTGCTGAGGATCGAACCCAGGTCCCGCCCGTGCTAGGCGAGCACTCTACCGTTGAGCCACAATCCCAGCCCCACTCATCTGTTTGTTTTTTTATATTTATTTTTTACTTATAGGTAGACACATATCTTTATTTTATTTTATTTTATTTTTTTATGTGGTGCTGAGGATCGAACCCCGGGCCTCACGCATGCTAGGTGAGCGCTCTACCTCTGAGCCACAATCCCAGCCCCCAATTTCCTCATCTATAAAACGAGAACCATAATGGTATCTATTTTACCATGGTAATGAGATTAAAAGAGCAGTTGGTGCCCAGTGATTCTCAAAGGGAGGCCCACTGTAAATGTCAGCTACTGGTTGTGATTATCACTTACAGTCAAGGGCATACTGTTGCCCCAAGAACAAGCAGCCACATTTTGTTGCCTACCTGGAAGGAATCTTAGGCAATAGCCCTGTTGTAACTGCAGACATTCCCAAGAGGACAGTCTCACACTGGTTGTCCCTTATGAGGCCTTGAGGAGAGTTCTCCACAACGGCCCTGCCAGTGAGCCCAAGCAACCCCTTAGCTCAGAGGCAGAACCCTGTGGCCAAGTGCCTGGAGCCGTGGAAGTCTCAGAATGTCTGCCATCTTGTATCTACAGTGAGGGGCACAGCATTGGCTCTATAGTAATGGTCTGGGCTCTGCATCTGTCAGACCAGAGTCTGAATCCAGTCTCCAGTCCTCATAGGCTGTACCACTTGGACAGATCTTACCCAGTTTTGTCCTTTGTATCCTGGGAATGATTATGGCCCCTCCTTTGTGGAGTCTTTGGTGAAGTAAAGGAGATTTGTGACCATCAAGCCTAGACAGTGGCAAGCCCCCAGTGAGGGAACTCTTGTGTCACTAGTCACTACAGTTAGCTGGGGCTTAGTCAGCAGGTTCTCGGTTTGGGTAGCAATAGGGAATAGGTGTCAGGTGGCATTAGGCAGGGCCAGCTGGGTAGCAGGGAAGGTTGACCACTAGCATTAGTACAGCCTGCTTCTCTGCTATTGACCTCCAGGGTCCTTCTTTCACCATGTGTCCCAGGCACGGGAGAGTGAGCACACTGCAGTCCTATATCCACTGAGTATCCCAGACCTGAGACTGGGACGCCACCGTGAGGATCTGTCTGGGGTGTTTGAGGATGGACTCCCTCAGGGGAGATTACTTTCTGGCTTGGGGAAGATGGCACTTTTCTGTGACTGATCCACAATTAGCCACATTTGTGGCATAGAGAAGAAAGGCTGATGTCAAGTGGTCCTGCTGTGGTAGGTGTTTGTTTTGGCCCCGGAACAGAGGCTGTGGATGTCAGGACTGCCAATCGTCACCCAGCACCTGATGGAGCAGAGGCTAGGTGAACACAGGCTTTCACCCACTCATCCCTCTGGCAATTCCTGGTATCTACAATGGACAGTTTACATTGTTGCTGGCACTGGAATGCACATGGTGGTGAAAAGGCCATCCCTGTCCCCACTCCCAGGAGCTTATATAAATGTGAATAGTCACATAAGAAAATCAACACAAACCAGAGAGTTTGGAACTGTGATAAGTCTCTGCCCTGATAAGACAATGAGGTGCCTGATAGACAACAGGTTCTTAAGAAGGTGATAAGGGAAGGCCTCTCAAAGGAGCTGACATTTGAGCTGAGATCTGAATAACAAGGACTAGCCAGGTATATGGAGACCTAAGGAAAGAACACATCTGCCAGATGGAGTATCATCTGAAAGGAGCAAGCCTGGGAGACTGGGGAACAGCTCAGAGGCTGGGGCACCCGGCATCAGGAGTTTCAGGGTGGTGTGGGGGGATACTGCTGAAGTAGGCAGGCCTAGTCCTGAGGCATGGGTGACTATGGGGAGGAACTAATCCTAAGAGTTATGGGGAGCCATAGGGGAGGGGGCTTGTGCAAAAGAGCAAAATGATGTGGTTTGGATTTTCAAAGTCTCCCTTTGTGTATGGAGAGCAGCCCATAAGAGAACAGCGAGGCCATGTGCACAGTAATGCTGGGGTATAATCCTAGCTACTTGGGAGGCTGAGGCCAGCCTTAGGGAGGCGCAGCCTCAATTTTTTTTTAAAAAAAGGAAAAAGTGCTGGCGGTATAGATCAACTATGGAGGGCTTGCCCAGCATGCACAAGGCCCTGGTGTGCGCGCGCAGGCACACACACACACACACACATACACAGGAAACAAGCAAGCCGAGCAAGGAGGCTATTGGGCCAGGTAACGGATAGCAGTGGTTTGGCTTATGGTAACATGGTGATGAAAAGAAAACAAGGGAATGGCAGTGGAATTGCCGCAGTCTGGCTGGGAACAATCAGGAGCCACTTGTCAAAAGAAACTAACTTTATTTTTAGAACCACACACGCCAAACAAAACAGCCTCTCAGGAAAAATCCTCAGAGCCTCAACTGCCACCACCGGCTTTCCACAAGCCTCTCTCTCTCCCACAAGCTTCTCTCCACCTCCCACAATCCTCCTGCTCTTGAGGCCGGTTAGCTCAGTTGTCTGCTTTGCCAAAAACTCTGGTAGCTGTTTGAATAAGCCTATCTACAAATTCACCATAAGGTTCATTAGCTGGCTGCTAATGAACAAGCATTAGAAAAAACAAGCCCTTGATAAGAAAGTGTTTGGATCTGGGCCCTATCCACCCCGCTTCCCGGAGGTCCACCCATGGTGGACATGCTGGTGGGAACTGGGGCTGCATCACCCTTTGGGGGGTGATTCCCACATCCCAGTAGTTTTCATAAACAGATACGTTCGGCTGGAAATCTCAGTTCTTAACTTCTATTTGTAACTGCCTCTCTGAGAAAGCGTCAGAAGCCCCTACAGAATTGAACTTTCAGAAACCAAACTGTTGGAAAGTTGAAACCACCTAATCGTCAGGATCTCCTCTTTAATGGGCCCTACTGAGTGCTTTATTTGGTAAACCTATTTCATCCACCAACAACCCTGCAAAGTGGATTACTGCCTCCCTTTATAGATAGGGAAACTGAGGCTCCGGGAGGCTGTCGAGTTTACCCGAGGCACCAAGCGGAGTTGGAAGGCTGTCTGGTTTCCACGCCCATTGCTCCCAGCCCCGCCCAGAGCGCTCTGCCCCGCCCACCGCGCTCACCCCCGCCCTCCATGCCCAGCCCCACCCAGAGCACCCAGCCCCGCCCAGAGCGCCCAGCCCCGCTCTCCGTGCTCACCGCGCGCACATCCTCAGGGAGGTCGTTGCCTATCTCACCCTTAGCAGTCTTCTCTAGGGTGTTGATGGCGATTTCCAGGAGTTTCTCATGGTGGTGATTTTCAAGGTCCCGGCACTGAGCCATAGTGCAACCGTGAGTTAAGCAAAGCCAGGTTTGGGGCAGGACGGGCACTTTCCTGACCTGTGGCTGAACTTCTGTCAAGCAAAAGTCCATCTCATCTCAACTAGAGGAGAGCAGACTTTAAGGCTCAAGGCAAACTCTTGAGATGTCAGGAAGCATTATCATCCTCACAGATGTCACCCATGCGTACCAAACCCCAGGCCACTCCCCAATTCCCCCACTCTTTTTTTTCTTTTCCTCTTTTTTTTTTTTTCCTTTTTGCACCAGGGATTGAACCTAGGAGTGTTTAACCCCTGAACATCCTCAGCCTCCTGAGCCACTGGGATTACAGGCATGCACTGCCACTCCTAGCTAATCTCTCATTCTTGCCCCTTCTTCTCATAGCAGCCATAGTGAGCTTAAGGACAAGGGTAGCCAGGACCCATCTGTCCCCTGCTTAAAGTGCCTGGGAACTTCCAGTTCTCTGACATGGCCTAAGAACCAAGCTCCTCTGGCCCACCCTCAGGACCTTCGTGCATGCTACCTTCTCTACCTGTATACTCTCCCCTACCCTTTCTCCTGGTCCCTTTGGCCACTTAGTAAGAGCCTTAGTGGACCCTCTCTCATGGAGGCACTTGGTCCTGGCCTCCAAGTTGGCTGCTACTCACCTGTGCATTGGGTACCACTTGTTACTGCCATAACTTCTGTCCACTTGCTGGATCTGAGCCCCAAGAGGACAGAACCAGGGCTTGCATACAGTTTGCCATCCCCCCCCTCCCCCAGTGTAACAGGGCCCTTAGTTCAGGTGGCTGAAGGGTTGACATGCTCCATATGTCAATTTCTGACCCTAACATTCAACCTGAGAAACACAATGTAAGTAATTTGTGTCTTCAATGTAGATGTTACGTAAGCCCCAGAGTGTGTTAGGCTGCAACACAGGAGCAGATGGTGATTTTGGGGTGTCATCTTCCCATGAACATCACCCACCTTGAGAAAAAACAGGCAAGGACTCTATTGTACGGCAGTCACTCTGGGCATCTGAATGTCACTCTAACAAGACTACTGTTGTCCTAAAGGTTGGGAAACCACCTTGGACCCTGAAGAACATTCTTTTGAACATTTTATGTGGTTCTAAGCCTTCATCCTTTGAAGCTTTTTTGTTGGTGGAAAACTGAATGTTTTACATTCCTCTAATTTCAAAGGTGGAGATCCCCATTAAATAGAATCCTATAGTGAATTTAAATATCCTCTTGGTGGAGGTGTAGATCTTTCTCCAAATCAAATGGCAAATAGGTATTTCCAGTAAAAAGTGAAATATGATGTGGAGTGCTAACTTCTTACTACCTCTGCCAACCTGTTTAGGGCACAGGGGGCAGTGGGAGGGGCAGTGGTGATCTGCAGATGGCCATCTGGAAGAGAAACCCACTTATTTGCATCTTGCTTAAGATTCTGAAGAAGGCTTACCCTGCCTTACTTTTTTTTTTAATATTTATTTTCTAGTTTTAGGCAGACACAACATCTTTGTTTGTATGTGGTGCTGAGAATAGAACCTGGGCCGCACGCATGCCAGGCGAGCGTGCTACCACTTGAGCCACATCCCCAGCCCCTTCCTTACCTTTTGTTAGAACTGCAGACACCTTTTCCCTATCTCCCCAAGAAGCCAGGACATCCCTAGGAACTATGTAGTATCTTCCTGTGGAGGTGTCATCACAAAAAGGATATAAGCCTTGGACATTTTCGATAAAGAGTCCCACCAAGTCAATGATGTTCCTTTCAAACATGTTTATGGTCTCCTGGAAAGGATAAAGTTAACTTGTATATTTAGATACTTTGCATCAGAGCAAAAGGTGGTGCTCAGAACTTAGCAGGTGCTTCCTTTAATCACATATCTTTAGGGGTGGACACTATCCACCTTGACCTCCCTGGGAAGATGGTTGAGAAATGACCTTTCCTCTCTCCAGAGCTTTGTTACTCTCCACTATCAACAAACTCCCCACTTTAAAGGTTAAATGCTCTCTTGGGCTTTGTCTGTTGGTCCCTCTGCCAGAAACACCTGTCCTGGTCTTATTCCTCTTACCCCCACTATCTCCACAGACTAACACCCTTATTTAGGGTTTCTCAATGTCATCTATCAACTTCCAAAGAAACAGTGAGGGAGCTATAAAGAGTCAGCCTGCCTGTATCAGCATCCCAGCCCCACCCTTGTGTATTACTCTGGGAAAGTCACCTAATCTTCTGGGCCTCTCCTTCCTCATCTGTGAAATGGGTTTCCTGGCTGGTGCCTGTCTCCTGGAATTGGGGTGGGGTTAAATGAGCTGCTTTGCACAAAATACTTTGCAAGGTGCCTGACAGAGAGGAGACCCTCAGGGAGTGTTAGCTGTTACTGTTAGTTGCTATTTCCTGGTGCTTAGCAAAGCACCTGTGGCCTAAATGGAAGTTAGTGTTATGAAGGGAATAATGGAAGATGCAATTGTGAGGCCTGTTGCTCTGGGAGGCCCCTGCCCTGATCTGCCACACTCCGAGGGCTGCAAGGTAGGCTAGGGGTACAGGGTATCTACAGGAAGCCAAGGACTGCCTGCAGGCCCAGCAAATGAGACATTTTCCAAATGTGTGTATGAGTGCTGCTGTGGTGAATAAAAATAGGGTCATTGAAAAGCATGAGTGTCCTCCCCGCCTTTTGGTCACTGGTAATACACGTAGGACAGTGCACGGTTCTGGGAAACGTTTGGATGTTGAAAAGCGATCTCCCTGCTTGAAAAGGTCGTGGGCTGCTGGCGGGCCCTCCCCTGGCGCTGCGTGTTCCTTCTGCAGTGCTTGAGCATTTCCCAGCGGGGAGCGAGTGGCTGCTGCGGGATGTGATGGCGAAATCTATCTCATGTCTGAGGTGTCACTTGACGTGTGAGGAATTGATTAGGCGCTATCTCTTGGCCCAGCCACGGCAGCATCAGATGAGGTTCAATTCATCACACCACTTCCGATTCCCGGCCTCTGCTGCCAGCGAACACACAAGTCACCCTGGCTGCTAATGAATTTTAGACAGCAGCGCTTTTCATTTCCACATCTTGCTACTGAGTTGCAGGCTCCTCGCATCGCCAGGGAGACAGCAACCACAGGCTGCGATGCGGAGGCGCCTTTGTTTGGTCCTGGAGTGGGGGTTTACTTTGTCTTGCAAGCCCTGGGACTGCTTTTGGGTCTAATAAAAAAACCTCTCTCTGCTGAGGCTTTGGGCTCTTTCAGAAGGAGAGGAACATTCCAGAGGAATGAGCTCACCTCTCATTCTCCACAAGAGTCACTTACCATCTAAATTATTAAAAATATATAAAAGCAGGGGCTGGGGGTGCGACTTAGTGGCAAAGTGCTTGCATGAAGCCCTGGGTTCCATCCCCGGTGAGGGGGTGGGGAGGCCAGGGGGAACACAGGAATGATGAGCAAGAAGGCTTCAGTGTGACACTCTAGATCACACTGGACCTTTCCAACACGCATGGAGGCTGCAGCTCATGGAGCGGTTTCTCAGCTGAGCCACCAGTTTCTTGCATCTGCACCCAGGCCCAACCTCACCTCCAGCTGCTCTACCAGCTGCATCTCCAGTGTCATGAGCACGTTGAATAGCTCAGTGATATCCTCACTGCACTCCATTATCTTCTTCTCAATGTTGAGCAGATCAGATTCTTCTCGGATGCTATTTAAATTCTGGAAACAAAAGCCTGTGCTTTAGGAATCAACAGTTAAGCATAATTAGTTGATGGCAAGTGGCAATTTGGTTTTGCCTAAAGTTCAAGTCTCACTTCTGTCATTTGCCAGTTCTGGGAGCTTGTGACGTTAGCATATTATTTTGAGTGAAAGGTGCTTTAGAAACCTGGCATGGTGGCACACACCTATAATCCCAGCTACTTGGAAGTCTGAGGCAGGAAAATTGCAAGTTCAAGGCCAGCATGGGCAACTGAGTGAGATCCTGTCCCAAAGTAAAAAATTTAAAAAGGGCCGGGGTATAACTCAGTAGTAGAGCACCGCTGAATCCTGGATCCAACCCAGTGCTGGGGATAGGTGCTTGAAAAATAGTAGATGCAAGAAGGGAATGCTGACCCTTCTTCCCTAAAAGCAGGAGATTAAAATCCCACAAGAATGGTGCCCTTCCTGTACCAGAAGAAGGGAAGACATTCTTATCACTAAAGATGGGGAGTAAAGGCCAAGGGAAATCCATGCCATTGAACCTTGTTAAACTATCCCTTGTCTGCTTAGTTGCTTCTCTACCATAGCCTAGCCTAACCCTTTTATCTTGTCATGTATATATACACACACACACATTTTTTTTTGGTACTGGGGATCGAACCCAGGGCCTTGCGCATGTAAGGCAAGCACTCTACCAACTGAGCTATATCCCCAGCCCAATCTTGTCATATTTTCACAATTTTTTCCCATTTAGTATAGTCATATGCTATATAATGACATTTTGGTCAATGATGTGTCACATACATGACAGTGGTCCCATAGATTATGAGGGAGCTGAAAAATTCCTATCACTCAGTGACGTCATAGCAGTCTTAATTTCACAATAATGAAATCACCAAGTGACTTTTCTCAGAATAGACCCCACTATTAAGTGATATGTGACTATGTATTAACCCTATAGCCCTAAATGCTGCTTTGGAGCTTTTCTTGGAGTGCTCCCATGTACCAGTGAATTACTAAATAAAATTTGTAGGCTGAGAATTTAGCTCAAGAGTAGACCACTTGCCTAGCATGCATAAGGTTCTGGGTTCCAGCACTGCAAAAAAAAGTATGCTTTTCCTCCTTAATCTGTTGTAAGTCAATTTCATTCTTGGTTCTAGTTGAACACACTAACAGGCTAAGTGTGAAATTGTACCTGCCCTTTAGGGTCAGGTGAGCCTGAATTTGAGTCCTGGATCACTTATTAGCAAGAGAGAGCTACTTTTGTTCTCTAAGCTTTAGTTTCCTCCCTGTTAGTGGAAAGAAGAATCTGAACTTCACAAAGTCCCAGGAAACAGAGGCTTTATACATGAGGCACCTGAAAACAAGTGGGGGTTTGATTTACAGAGGCTCTGATAAAATGACTATAATAGATGAGAGTCAGGAAAGACACTGGGAAAAAAGTGTCTTAGTCCATTTTGTATATCTGTAGCAAAATACCTGATGCTGGATAAGGTATAAAGAAAAGAGGTTTAGGGTTGGGAATTAGCTCAGTGGTGAGTGCTTGCCTATCATGCATGAAGCCCTGGGTTGAGTCCCAACATTGCCAAAAAAAAAAAAATGTCTTTTAGTTCACAGTTTTAGAGGCTGAAAGTGCAAGATTGGGTGACCCTATCTATTCGACCTCTCATGAGGCCTTTTGGCTGCATGACATCATGGTGGATAGCATTACATAGCATGAGTGCATGCAAGACTGGCAAGTGACAAAAGTGCAGAAGAGGTCACAAGGAAAAGCAGGTGCAAGAGAATGAGCTGGAAAGCAGAGCTTGCTTTATAATGACCTGCCTCTCAAGGTACCTACTCCATCCCATGTGAGTGAGAAAAGCATTAATCCCTCCTATTGAACTAATCAGTTCTTAAAGACACCACCTCCCAACACCATGCCTCAATATGAACTGCAGCACCGACAGACTACATTCAAACCAGAGCAGAAAGACAGTTCCAGTCTTTGAGGGAATCAGTGGGACCCACATAGAATCCCAGGGAGCAAATGGAAGCCAGTGGTAAAATGCTGAACCATTTGGAATGAGACTGTGCTTAGGAGCTGGAGAGCAGCCCTGGGGCCAGCACAGCCCCTGAACACCAGCTGCGCACCACCAAAGGGTCTGGGGACACGAACAATGTCAGTTTGTTTTTGTCAATACTTGGTATTAGTCATGATGAAGGATGAAGTAAATGGGGTAAAGGGGTGTGATTCAGTGGGATGCAGGACACTGATGATAGCTTCCCATCTGGAGAGAAGCCAGGCTCCATCCCTGCCTCATTTGCATTAAGACAAATTCCCAATGGAGTGAAGATGGAAATGTGAAAAGTAAAACCAAAAAAAGCACTAGAAGAAAACATGGGAGATTTTTAATAAAAAATCTCAGAGTGGAGAAGTTCTCTCCAGGTACAACCTGAAAAAAGATTGATAAATTCTACTACATTAAAAAAAAAATTCATGGGCCAGGGTACAGCTCAGTAGGAGCTGCTCATACCCACTTAAGAGAAATAAGCAGGGTGCACCAGGTTGACAAAGCTTGTGGTATTGGCTGTCAGCCTTGGAAGGAACAGGCTCTGTGGTGCATTTGGGCAGAAACCACTAAAAGACCCAATGCATAGTTGCATTTTTAGGATTTCATTCTAAAGGTCAGATTTGCACCAATTTATTCATAGCAACACTGTTTCAAAGAGCAAAATGTTGGGGAAAAATTAATTGTCCATTATCAATTATCAAGCTGGCTAATTCCAGCTCATTTAGGCGTTGAGATATCTTATACCCATTTAGAAAATGAGGCAAATTATTCAGTCCTAGTAGACTCTCTGAAATGGATAGTCTAGCAAAGTGCATAACAGTGCATGCTATGTTTTCATGTCACACCACACACACACACACACACAGGAGACTGGACCCTCTGGTGGATAATTTCCATTTTCTGCCATGTGCACGTATCACCTTTTCAAAAGTGAATCTGATGACACAAGGACCTGCCTGGTCATTATTTCATGCTGACTTTGCTTACACGAGGGCTTTCTCTCTGTCTTGATGGATTCTCATTGCAGTTCTTGTTATTTTATTCTATTTTATTTGTGGTACTGGGAATTGAAACCAGGAGTGTTCAATACTAATCTACATCCCCAGTCCTTTTTATTTATTTTAAATTTTGAGACAGGGTCTTGCTAAATTGCTGAGGCTGGCCATAAACTTGTAATCCTCCTGCCTCAGCCTCCTGAGTAGCTGGAATTATAGGTGTGCACCATTGTGCCCAGCTCCCCCTACATTTCTGTGAGGGATTATCTCCATTTCACAATTAAGATATGTATGCTAGTAGCTGGTCAATGATATTTCTCTGGGTCACCAGTGAGGGGTCTATATGAGCCCCAAGCCTTAACTGATTGCACTGTGACCTCAAGATGTACTCTGCTGGGTGCTATGTATGATGAGGAAGCTGGAGAAGAGCAGGACAAAGCTATAGGAGGGGACCTATGAGGGGAGGGGAAGCTGAGGCCCTCAGGGACCATGGGATCTTGGGAACTTCCAAGTCAGTGACCTCAATTTGGGTTGAGCATTGGAAGCATGTGGGGAGTTCTGGAAAAGCCCAGTGCTGGGCCAAATACCTAACTGGGTGCACCTGGGCGCAGCTATCAGCTTGTTTCCAGGCCCTGTGAGCTCTGATGTGCAGACTGGATGAGAATCACTGCTCTTGACTCTAAGAAGAGCACTCAGGGGGCTAGGGTTGTGGCTCAGCGGTAGAGTGCTCTCCTAGCACGTGCGAGGCCCTGGATTCGATTCTCAGCACCACATATAAATAAATAAATAAACAAATAAAATATAGGCATTGTAATCCAACTAAATTTAAAAAAAAATTATATATATATATATATATATATATATATATATATATATTTTTTTTTTTTTTTTCAGCTTAGTTGGCCTTTGAGGAGCCAGACAGTGAGGGGCATATTCTGAGTCAGGCTCGGCTGGGCCCATGGGCCCATGTCTTGCTTCTCCAAAGAGACTAATTGTTAAGAGGGTCAGGAACCCCTGGTTTTAGGAAGAGCTACTAGTTGATGTCCCAAACCTAGTGGCTATAGGGACCCGGTAGGAAATGTTAGTGGTACACACCTATAATATCAACCACTTTGGAGGCTGAGGCTGAGGCAGGAGGATCATAAATTCAAGGTTTGGGATTATAGCTCAGTGGTAGAGTGCCCCTGGGTTCAATTCCCAGTATCACGGAGGGAGGGAGGAGGGAGGGAGGGAGGAGGTAGAGAGGGAGGGAGAAAGGAGGTAGGGAGGGAGGAGGGAGGGAGGAGGGAGGGAGGAGGGAAGGAAGGAGAAGGTAGAGAGGGCGGAGGGAGGGAGGAGGGAGGGAGGGAGAGAAAGAAAGAGAGAAATGTCAGAAGCAGCTGAATGGAGGGAGGGAGGAGGGAGGGATGGAGGGAGGGGGAGGGAGGAGGGAGGGAGGGAGAGAAAGAGAGAGAAATGTCAGAAGCAGCTGAATGACTAGGGGAACTGAAGCATGACCTGGCCAGTCCAAAGAGGACAACCCTGATGGTAACTGCCTCCAAAGAAGCTGGCAGCTATGATTTTCCTGGCAAGTCTTCACATTTCCAATGTCAGGATGCTTAAAATGGTTTGCAACCTCTTCAGGCCAAATAAAACACATATGTGAGCCAAATGTGTCCCCCTGCTGGCAGTTTTGAATTTCTGGTTGAATGCAGTGACACCCCCCTCCTTAGAACGTAAAAAGAAGGGTCTTGAGAATTCACTCAGAACACGAGGCCCCATATGAGAGGCTTATGAGGTAAGAAGCGGGTTGGGGTAGCCGAGGGTTGGGAAGCATATGGGAGTCAGTTGCCACCTCCATTGTATCTGAACTGGCATTATTGGGGGACTTTGTTCTACTTTAAACTAAGTTCTCAGCCAGGAGTGACTTTATGGGCTCCTTGAAACCTCTGAAGTTGTAGGTAAACCTGCAGTTTTTCAAGGAGAGAGGTCCATAGCATTCCTTAGAGTCGCATGGAGATCTGTGACTTAGAAGAAGTTAATAATACTGTCTTTAAAAATGATGCTGTCTGGGACTGGGGTTGTGGCTCAGCAGTACAGTGCTTGCCCAGCACGTGCAAGGCCCTGGGTTTGATCCTCAGTACCACATAAAAATAAATAAAGGTATTGTGTCCAACTACAACAAAAAAATAAATATTTAAAAAAAATGATGCTGTCTGTGCTGGGCACTCAGTGTGCTTGTAGTTCCAGCCGCTCAAGAGGCAGGAAAAGGATGGTTTGATCCCAGGCGTTCAAGGGCAGCACAGCAACACACCATCTCAAATAATGACAATAACAATAATTTGAAAAATCGATTGCCATCAAGTACAAATCATGGTCTCTGCTTGGCTCTGCTTGGGCAAGGTCCTAAACATCAGGGCTGCTTCTTTGCTGATCCTCTGGGTGGGACAATTTTTCTCTACCATGCCTGGCCAACTCTTTCTTTGTCCCATTAACCCCCAGCCTTCCCTAGGTTCTTCAGCCTGAGTTAAGGGGCATCCAGGGAATCCCCAAGGCTCCCTGCCTGCCCTCTGGGAGAACACTGACCACTTGGTTCACTCAGGGGAGAGGGCCTGGGACCTAGTCTGCACATATTAGCAGGTAACATCTCACCAAGGACAGGAACCACATACATCATGGCTGAGCATCACAGGACCAGGCACAGGTGGGGCTTAGCACAGTTCTGCTAAATGAATGAATGACCCGAAGACTGTCATAGTCATCATAGTAGTGGTACAAATAATCATTATAAAACTAATGATGAGATGGTGGGAGTGGGGATGACCTACTGCTCTGTTGTCAAGCAGCAGGGAGCTAAGGCTGGTGGTAAGGGGGTGAGGCTGGACCTTGACTCTGCCACTTAGCTGCAATATGATCCCCAGCACATGTAAGAGTGAACATGACCTTAGAGGCTGTCAGAGTGCACAGGAGTTGCAGACTGTCTACAGCAGGAGGGGCTTGAGGCACTCAGAGCAGGAGGTTGGGGAGGACCTACCATGAAGTGCTTCTCCTCGAACTTGGCAATCTTGAGTCTGCCCTCCTCCTGGTTTTCTTGGATGGCCTCCTGGATGCACTCATTGAAGGTGTCCAGCTCTATTTTCCGCTTCTCCTGCTGTTTCAGACCATACTCAAAAATGTTCACGCAGATGATGACAAATTTGTCTTTATATGTGAGTGGCTGTTAAGGAAGCTCGAGATAGTCTTGGAAGCAGGCATGACAAAGGTGTTGGCCCCTCTCAGCACAGAGCATAGACTGCGCTGAACACTGTGCTCAGGACTCAAACCCAAGGCTGCATGTGACCCCTTTGACAGATGAAGAAAATGAGGGCCCAGGGAGCCAGGATTGGAGGTCTGGAGCATAAGATGGTAGTTGGGGCATCTCTACTATCAACTGGAGGAATTCAACAAAGGGGCTAAAAGGTCCCAGAAGAGATTCCTGAGGGCCAGGTGGGGCCAACCCTAACTGGGAAATAGGCAGTGTGTGCCTTTGTTTCTGGTGTGTTATCCAGAAGAGCACTTTTGGTGAGGACCTAAATGCTCCTGAGGGAGGATCATGTGGTCAAAGCATCCCATCCAGGTTCAGGGACCACACTGGTATGTCAATTCACCCTTCTCGGTCTCACAGTCCTCATCTACAGCTAAGGGCACAATAGGACCTGCCACATGGAGTCCTTGGGAGGAATCCTTGAGGTCAGGCAGTTGAAGCCCACAGGATCTTGGGTGATCTGTGGGGATGGAAACTGATATTTGGGAGATATTTGCCCAGTCACATAGCCACACAGAGCTACAACCAAGAGGTAAACCCAGGTCACCTGGGGTGGAGTGGGGTAGGGGTAGCAGGGGCCCCCTCTGTCTGGCTCTTCCCTGACCCACGTCATTCTTTTCAGAATATCTGGATTTGAATGAATTCATATCCAATACAAAAATTGTCAAAATTCAAAATAGAGCCACATGTGTCAAACCCTGGCCAAACCACAAAGCGAGGGCTCTCGTGCACAATTTCCCTTGTAACAGGAACTATCACAAGAACAAGTTCGCTGCAAAAGGACATCTAGTCATTTAACAAGGACAGGTAACTTCCAGGCACAGTGGTGCTTGCTTGTAATCCCAGCAACTGGGGAGGCTGAGGAAGGAGGATTGCAAGTTTGAGGCCAGCCTCAGCAACTTAGCAAAGCCCTTGGCAATTTAGCAAGACAAGACTATGTCTCAAAATAAAACTAAAAAATTAAAAAAGGTCACAGGTGTGACTCGGTGGCTAAGTGCCCCTGGGTTCAATTCACAGTACCAAAAAAAAAAAAAAAAAAAACAATCCAAAGCAAAACAGACTGCTATGACTTTCAGACAAGTTTTAGCCAGTAACTGCTGGCACCAATGAATGTTCACAACTTAATAGCTTTTCTCTTTTCCAGTAAAACTTTAGCCTTTCCTTTGTTCTCCAGATGTACCCCTGACCACTCTGGTCTGCACATGTTCCAAACCACAGTTTGGAAACTGTTATTTCCAAATAACTGTAATTTTATTGGAGATTCATCTCTATATTTTCCTGGATGTTCATATCAGTGATGACGGCTCCATAGACTTATCTGGGACTTTTCATCTCAATGCCTGTCAGATCTAAGAATGCTTCAAGTCTACCCTAAGTCCCCCAGTTTAGGGAATAAGCCCATGGTTTGATCTTCATGGTCACATACTGACCACACCCTCTGGACTCCAGTTGACTGGGGGAAGAAGGCAGGTTCTCAGGCCCCACAGACAACAGTTCAAATCATGGCTTCTAATGGAGTGACCTTGGACAAGCCACTTCCCTCTCCAAGTGTAGCTTCCCTGACTGTAAAATGGGGTTAGCAATGGCAACCATGTAGTGGAATGCATGAAGACATTTAAAATACCAGGTCCAGATGCACAGCAGGACAACCAGGCTGCATCTCCCTCAGGCAGCTCAGCTGACCTGGCCCCTTGGGTACACTGTGTTAAGGGGCAATTTTACTTCTCAAGGTCTCATAGGGAAACTGAGGCCCCAAATAGAAGATACTTGCCCCAACCAGGCTGGTGGCATATGGACTGGGCTCACATCAGAGGAAGCAGCTGGGAACTGGGAAGGATATGCCACTAGGAGATCTCCCACACCAGGCAGGTAGGACAGCTTGTTGCCCTCCACATCCTCTGCATACATGCTGTCGAAAAGGTAGGAGTCATCCAGGCGCTCAATGAATGCCATCTGTGGGCAGAAACACCTGGGCGTGGTAACAGGGAGTGAGCCCCTCCCCCCCAGCTCCTTTCAAAGGCACAGCAAGGGCCCCCTGGGTAGGGGCTTATGCTAGGCACTGGGACTGGAAGACACATCATGGAGGTAGGGATGCTGCCCTTGGGCTGCATCTTCCTCCTCAGAAGGCTGAGGGAAGGACATGTGGAGAGGCAGAGGATACATCCAGGGGGTGGGCAGACCAAGTTGCAGAGGGGACATCAGGTCCTGTAGATGAAGCAAGATTTACATGATTTCGAGTTCAAAACTGGGGATCCCTGGGGATCTTGGTTCAGTGTGATTGGTGGGCTCTCAAGGCATCTCTGAGCTAGGCCAAGGTTGAGCCGCCCTCTCCAGTGGTACCTTGTGTTCCTCCAGCTTCATCCGCCGGGCTTGCTCTTCCTCCTGCTTGATCTGCATCTGGTTTTCCTGGTGTGTCATCTCATCAATGCTGTACTGGTGCTTCATCTCCGCCATCTTTTTCTGATCAGGGAATGAGAAGTAGCATTGTTACCCAGAAGAGACTTTCATCTGAGCCACAATGACCTCTGCCATCCTGAGGCCTCCCAAGCATAGGAACCCTTGGGTGGGTTGCTTTCGTGAAGGTGGGAAAGTTTTGAGGTCTTGTGGATGAGAATGATTTGTCATTTCCTTATGACCCTTCCCAGATCCTGAGTCTAAGGGGAATCAGGGAACTGGGAATTCACAGAGCTGGGAGGCACTCTAAGGGCCATGTGCTCATCCCTTGTCAGCCTGAACTGCTCCTGGCATGCTCTAGAGAGCACCAGAGGCTGTCCTCCTGCCGAGTCCTACAGTGCCAAGAGTCTAGAGCTTGGGGTGAGCTGTAGCTGGCCCCAGATCTGACAGAATCATGAACAGGAGATTCAGATGCCCCTGGTTTGTGGAACTCTGCTTTCATGATCTTTTGCTTACTATTTATCTGGATGGTTCTAGACAGGTCCCTGAACTGTGGAAGGAGCCTTGGTTTGTTCAAGGTGCAATGGGGACAAGCAGGGAATTTCTGATGACTCAGGAGAAGATACCTGGGAAGGATCTTTGACCTTACAGTGTTAGTCTGTCCTGTATTTGTTTGTTTGTTTAAATATTTTTTTAGTTGTTGATAGACCTTTATTTTTATTTATTTTTATGCGGTGCTAAGAATCAAACTCGGTGCCTCACATGTGCCAGGCAAGTGCATTACCGCTGAGCCCCAGCCCCAGTCCCTGTCCTGTGTTTTTATAATAGGCAAAACATACCCAAGTGGGTCTTGGGCCTATTCCAAGCTTTTGAACCCATGCTGCATTTCACATTATTGTCTAAATGAGAAAAATAAGACTTAAGAGTCTTAGAATTCAAAATCCTAAATCTTGTACTGTTATAGGACAAAAGAAAACAAGCCCATTGGTTGGCTACATATCACAGTGGTAGAGTGCTTGCCTAACTGTTCCATGCCCAGTAAAACATACACACTCACACACACACACACACACACACACACACACACACACTCACACATTCACACACTCACAAAGGAGAGAGAGCCAACCCGTGGTCTGTGGAGGAACAGCTTTCTGATCCCATGTCATCTCCGCGAGCATCCAAAGAAAGTTCTGGTAAGTGGAGAACATTGCTCTTAGAAGACAGCTTATCCCCTGGGGACTGGACTTTGCCTAATGACCAGATTGCAGAGGGTCAGGGTTGAGAAAGGTCCAGCCCTCCTCCCTACTTTGGATGGCCTTTTCTGGGTGTCCCCGGAATCACCTCAGTATCCCCAAACACAGGTTCCTTTCTTCCAGAAAATGCATCAGTTTTTGGTGAGAAGGAGAAGGCAGGTCAACAACCTTTGATCTCCCAGGCACCCAGCATGGAGGGACTTCCTGGTTCTGCCACTCAACAAAATACCCGTAAACAGACCACACTTCACAGAGTATAAGGAGACCCACAAATGGCAGTGAGGTGGATAGGGGCTGTAGTGGACAGAGGAGAGACCCTCCCTAGTAGGGCTAGTCCAGCATAGGGACTTCAGGCCAGGCTGTGCTGCCTGATCAACAGGGGCCAACTCCCAGCTTGACCACCGCTGGCCATGAGACCCCGGGCAGGTCACCCCACGTGTGTGTCAGCAGCTGATGGAAGCTGGGGAGCAGAGCAGGCCCCCCTCACAGTTTTTATGAAAACAACAAGAAAAAATGCCAAGTGCTTGGCATGCAAAGGCTGGACAACAGTCGGTGATTAGCACTGCTCTGGGAGTCCACACAGACCTGAGGTGACCCTGGCAGATGTAATCGCCAAGCCAGGCATGGTGATACACGCCTGAATTCCAGCAGCTCTGGAGGCTGAGACAGGATGATGTTGAGTTCAAAGCCAGCCTCAGCAATGGTGAGGCACTAAGCAACTCAGTGAGACCTTGTCTCTAAATAAAATAAAAAAATAGGGCTGGGGTTGTGGCTCAGCGGTAGAGTGCTCGCCTCGCACGTGCAAGACCCTGGGTTCGATCCTTAGCACCACATAAAAAAAAATAAGTGAAATAAAGGTATTGTGTCCAACTACAACTAAAAAATAAATTAAAAAAAAATAGGACTGGGGGCTGGGGTTGTGGCTCAGTGGTAGATCACTTGCCTAGCACGTGCAAGGCCCTGGGTTTGATCCTTGGCACCACATAAAAATAAATAAATAGCATAAAGATATTATGTCCAACTACAACTAAAAAATAAATATATATAAAAAAATATAGGTCTGGGGATGTGGCTCAGTGGTTGAGTGCCCTGAGTTCAATCCCTGGTACCCCCCAAATATATATATATATAATTGCAAACCCTCCCCTGAAAAACGGACAAGGGCTGTCAGGTGGCCTTGGGGCAATGTATGGAGAAAGCCCAGTTGCCAGGACACATGGGAAACAGCACCCAGGAGTGTTTTGCTGGAATTGCTCTGACAGAGATAGGTAAGGAGGCTTAGCAAGAGGGCACTGCCTCTTCTCTTCCTAGGTGTGGACAGGGGAAGACACCCTTCACTGCCCTGTGAAATTTGGGCTCCTGAAGACTTGTCTCACAGAGCTGGGAGACAGAAAGGGAGAGACTTGCCGCATGGTCATCAATGCGCCGGAAGTCCAGGTACACAAGATCAGGAAGGTAGGCATAGATGAACATTTTGTAATCCTCTGCCTCGGCAATAGGGTTCCCAGACAGGTTGAGTGTCCGCAGGCACTTGAACTTCCGCAGGTAAATGAGGTGGGGAAAAAAGACACCCATCCCCCTTTGAGCCGCCAGAGAGCTGAAAGCGTATCTGGTAGCATCTCTCCTTGGTGCTCTTTTAGGGTGTGCAGCCTGGCATAGCACCTCTCTGCATGGACAGGCAAGGAGGGGCTGGGGCTTCTAGGTTAAATGTTCGGTGAGGCTTTCCAAAGTATCAGTCAACTGGGGCTCCAATCCTAGCTCTGGGACTTAGAACTAAGGCACCTAACACCTGTGAGCCTCAATTTCCTCAACTACAAAAATGGGCATAAAGATATTATATTTTATAGGTCTTGTAAAGAACTAACAAAATAAGCTGTGAAAAGCATTCTTAAGAGTGCCTGACACCTACTCAATAAAGGGCAGTTATAGTTGGGTGTGGTGGGCATGCCTGTAATCCTATCAGCTTGGGAGGCTGAGGCAGGAGGACTGCAAGTTCAAAGCCGGCCTCAGCAATTTAGCGAGACCCTGTCTCAAAATAAAATATTTTTTTAAAAGGGCTGGAAACGTGGCTCAGTGGTTAAGCATCCCTGGGTTGAATCCCTGGTACCCCCCTCCCCCCAAAAAAAGAGGCAGTTATAGTTAATACTATTAGTGATCACTCAGAATAGTGTGACTTTTTTGACTGCTAAGTCTTGTGAAAGGTCCAAATCTGTTAAATTAAATGCAATGGTTAGCCTCACAAGCACTGGATAACAAACAATGAGTGGAACATCTCCATTTCCTATACCCTAGTTTGAGTAAAATGGGGGAAAAGTCAGATGATACTTTATGAGATAGCATCATCTGAACATCTAGATGCTGTGCTATGCAAAACATAGAAAAGAAAGCAGTCAACTGTGTTTCTCTGAATTTCCTTCAGTCATTTATTTGTTCTTTTATTTAATAAACAAGATTAAGCACTTAGCAAGCCTCTGGCAGGTACCATAGTAGCTCTGCAGAACAGGAATAAGGCCCATGGGTCCTTGGCCCCAATAGCAATTACAATTTATGTGTGGGTGAAAATATTTTTTTAAAAATACAATCATTAAGGTTTGGGGCAAATGCTATAAGGACTATAAAGATGGCACAATGAGAGAAAATAACAGTGAGAGGGCTTTTTCAGTCAGGGAGCTCAGAGGTCTCTCTGGGGAGATGACATTTAAGCTGAGACCAAGGAAAGCACCTTCCCAGAAGCCAAAGCAGTATAAGCAAAGGCCCTGAGGCAGCAGAGAACTTGGCAGTACCAGGAACTAAGCAGAGGCCAGGGTGGCTACAGAATGTTGGGAAGGGGCTAGAGGAAAGGATGTGAGATAAGACTGGCAATAAGATCAGAGCCTGGTTCATGTAAGACCACAGGCTGTGAGCAATGAGATTTTGTTGAGGATAATGAAGTCATTGATGTTTTAAATGCGTATATGGGAAGATAGGATCTGATTTAATGTTTTTTGTTTGTTTTTCAGTACTAGGGATGAAACCCAGGGCTTTGCACGTGGTAGGCAAGTGCTCTACCACTGAGCTGCATCTCCAGCCCCCTTTATATTTCATTCTGAGACAGGGTCTCACTAAGCTGCCCAGCCTGGCTTTGAACTTGGAATCCTCCCACCTCTGCTTCCTGAGTAGCTAGGATTAGAGGTATACACACTTGGCCCTGGCTCTGGAATTTTTAAGAGATCTCCCAAATGAGATTCCATTTTTCATGTTTTAGATTAGCAAAGAGAAAAGTGTGATAATAAAATGTGTTGTAGATGGTGAGAGGGAACAGGTCACACCATCATTGCTGGTGGGTCTGTAAATGATTCCACTTCTGTGGAGGGCAATTTGGCAAAGATTCATCCAAATTTAAAATGCATGGTCCCTCTGACCCAGCAATTCCCCTCTAGGAGTTTATCTTACAGATGAACTGATCCAGGTGTAAAGCAACTCTGCTCAAGGACATTCCCTACCTAAGGGCTTTCAGTACAGTACACATGTATTGGCACCAGGTTGAAAACAACCTTGACATTCACATTTAGGGGACTGGAAAAATACATCACATCATGTCTGAGCAATGTAATGATACGACAGAGAGAGGGAAACGATGACTCAGGAGAAGAGGGGCCAATTGAAGCCAGGTATGTGAAGGGCAGTTGGACGGACATGACAATCATGCACAACGCTTAAGCACAAGATGCCTGGAGAGACTGGTGCAATTCAGAAGTAGGTGTGGCCCCAGAAGGAGAAGCAAGGACCAAAGCCAGGAGTGAGAGGCTCTTCCCTGAGTTCTGCTTAAATGTCTGTGTTTTTAATGCAATAAGCAGGTACTAAAAATAAGTACCTGCAAATACATAAATAAATGACAAAGGAGCAGATAGAACCGATAAGGGCTAAAGAGAAAGATGCTCAGGGTTAGAAGCTAATAATACCTGAGAGTTGTCAGTCAGGACTTTCTGGATCAAGTCAAAAACACCTTATTAGGTACAGAGGATCCAGGGTCCCTAAGGACCCAGGATGCAGCCAGGCCCTAGGAACTTCTGGTCTAGATACCTCAGCAGTCCCTGGCAGCTCCTCCCCATGGACCTTCTGTTTTCCTTTTTCTCTCCTGGGGACCAGCTATACCTGCCTCTTGAATATTCACAAAGGGATCTAGTACCTGGCACCCACTGGGAAAGGGTGATGGGATTTCTTCCTGACCAGGGCCTGCTGGGGCAGGATAGAATACCCTGGTCAAGGAAGGGAGTGAGGCATCCACAGAAGGGCTGGGACCTGTCCACTTCCATTCCCTCTGCACCCTTTAACAGTGTGCCTGATTCTATGAAGGGACAGGGTCTCAGGCTCTCTTATGGTTTAGATGTGAAGTGTCCCCAAAAAGCTCATATGTGAGACAATGCAAGAGAGCTTAGAGGTGAAATGATTAGGTTATGAGAGTCTTAACCCAAACAGTGTGTTCGGGCACTGATAGGGATTAACTGGCTGGTAACTGTAGGCAGGCAGGGTGTGGGTATAAGAGGTGGGTCCCTGGGGGCTTGCCTTAGGGTATATATTTTGTCTTTGTTGAGCAGAGCTTCCCTGTTCCCAGCTGTTTCCCTCTGCTACATACTTGGGCTGTGAAGTTCTGTTTCACTTCCCACCCTAAGGAATGGAGCTGCCATTTGTGGTTGGGACCTCTGAAACCCTGAATCCCAAATAAACGTTTCCTCCCTAAAATTGTTCTTGTCAGGTCTTTTTGATCATAGCAGCAAAAAAAGCTGACTAAAGTAGACATTGTAAGTCTACAATGTCCAAGGGCTAACGAATTGGCAGGGATTCATTCATACAGAGCCCTGGGCTGTAGGACATACCAAGATAGAAATAGCTGCTAAATGCTCAGAGTTTCAAGCAGCAGGGTTTGGGACAGGGGATGCAACTCAGCAGTACAGCACTTGCACAGCCTGTGTGAATCTTTGGGTTTGATCCCAAGCACGTGGGTAGGGGGAAGGCCTGGGGCTGTTTGGGGGGTTAATCAGCAACCTGAAAATTCCTGAATAATGATCATTTTCTATACTTAATATGTGCCAGATCCTGCATATAATACTCTCTAATTGATTCCATCTTCACTCCAACCACAGGGGATTGGCAGCACTGAGATTTGAACACAGACTCTCAGTCCCTGCTCTATTAACCTGCACCCTCCATGCCTCACCCTGCCATCCCATTGGCCAGCATTTGGGTTTCCTGCACTTACAGAACAGAGGGCAGGCTGGACAGTCAGGACCCAAACCTTGAAAAGGGCACTGGTTGGTTTTAGAACCTCCTGTCTGGTGTGCGGGGCAAACTTTTGAGACTGTACCACCTCTAGAGTTTGGCTTTGCTGGGCAGACTTAAACATCCATCTCAGGCCATTCACCTTGGTCACCCAATCTGGCCATGTCCCAGCTGATACTGGTGTGAGGGTAGGTGTAGGGCCTAAGATGTCCCAATTAGACTGAAAGGACACCAGCTTGAGATTTTTCAAGCTCTCTGTCTAAACAAGGAAGCCTATGACCTTGATTGCAGCAATGAGAAACAGCCTTGGGGAGACGCTGAGAATAGCAGAGCCCAGAGGTGGAAGGAACCTGCATCCTTGAAACCCTGTTGACAAACTCCCCGCTTTGCAGTGCAAATGATCATGTCACCAAATGCCCTTGTTTGTGATGGCTGACCTATGACTTTGGCTGCGGCTGTGACACTCTTGTTGACAGCATCCATCTCATCATTTGCTTTCTGTGTCAGAGAGGTCTCTGAAGTCACAAGCCAGCTCAGGAGCCAGGCAGGGAGGAAGCTAATCCCTGGGGCAACCCTCACTGTTGAGGGGTGGCACTGCAGATCAGTGCCTAAGGCTTCAGCTCTTAAGTGCTCACTTCTGGGAAGCACTCTGGCTCTTTCTAAGACCCAGCAGAATTGAACCCCCATCACCTGCTACAGCAACCTCAGTGACACCCCCCACATTCACTCCAGATTCCTGCAGTCACCTCATTCACTCCAGATCCCCAAATCACTTCACAAACAAACTATCTGTACCTGAATCTCTGCCTTGGTTTCACTTTTAGCCTGTCTGAGACAAAACTCGGTTACCTGCAAGCCAAATGTGCTTTCTGGTGGCACCATCTTGCACTAACCCATTCACATGATCTCCTTCAAGTCCACTTCAAGATGGCAGGTTCCCTTCCCAAACGTAAACCTGATCTGAACATATCACAGCAAAAAGTCCTTCACTGCTCCCGATGCTTATCTTGATATTCCTGTCTGCAGTGAGGCCCCAGCTCCCAGGCTCAGCCCCCACCTGCACACACCCTTGACTTCTAGGGACCCTGGGCTCCTCAGGCAGGTAGCCTTTCCTGTGCATCCTGCAGGCAGGCAGGCTTTCCTGACACACCTCCAGGCATTTGCTCATGCTATCCCCTTTTTTTGAGATGCTCTTCCCTTTGCTGGATGGAAAATTCTCATCGTTCTCTTTCAGTGAATCTGCATCCAGTTACCTCTCATCCCTTGATGCTTTCCCAGGAAGGATGTCAGCCATGACAGTCCATTCATTAAAAACCTGCTCTAGCCTAAACCTGAATCAAGTGCTTTATGTTTATTCTTATTTGTTTCTCATGAGAGCCTGGGCAGGTGGGCTATGATTACTCTCCACTTGACAGGCAAGGAAACAGGCATGGAAAGCTTGTGCCTCACTGGGTTTAGATCTTCCTGTCTAGCATGCACTAGGAACTGCCAAGACTACATCACCTCCTGGGTTTGGTCTTGCTGAATGCACTTAAATATGGGAAACAACTTGGGCACTTGACCTACCCCAGGCCATGCATCTAAGCTACCCAAATGTGCCATCAGACTGACCTAAGAAGAAAAAGAAGACTTGGAAGGATTCTGGACAGCTGCCAGGTTTGGTGGCCAGGCTGGAGAAGCAGATCAGGGACTGTCTTGTAAGGTCACTACTGGTCACCTCTGACATAGGACCCTTGTGGCTACTTCTAGGGTCTCATCCCCAGCCCACTGCTGTAAGCCTATTGTGGGGTATGCTCAGGGAAGCCCACCTTTCTCCTCAGATGACCAATGTCCAGGATTACACAGGCACATTCCTGGCACTGTGGCTTATCCTCCCACTTCCCAGAGGTCTTGTTTTATTGCCCCTAGCTTCTTGTCACCTATGTCTTAATTATGTGGGTGTGTGGGCTAGTTGTCCTGAAGGGACCAAGTCTTGTACGTCTCTGTACCCACTGAGCACAGGACAGTTGGCCCATATCGAGTAGGTGCTTTGCAAATGTTTAAGGTAATATAAGACTCAGAAAGTGACTTCACTGAAGCAGAGATTGCAAACTAGTACCCAGAGATGCGTTTTGTTGGGTTAAACGTGGTACTCAAACATTATGGCATCCCTTGTGGAATAACCTGGATGTCTGGTCTTTCCAGGCAAAGGGAGAAATCTGGAACACTCAGCCTGTACTCCCCCTACCATTCCCAGCCTGAGTCCTGCAGGTGCCAGTGAGCATGAGTCCCTATTTCTGGCCACTCACGTTCATCATGTTGCCAATCTGGTTGTTGCCAAGAGACAGCACCTGCAGCTTGACCAGAGCATCCAGGGAGTCAATCTTGGAGATCCGGTTGTTGAACAAGCTTAGGTCCTCCAGATTCACCAGTGTGTCCAGCCCCTCAATGGCCTCGATGTTGTTGAAGGACAGATCTGGGAAGGGAAGAGGATTCTGAGGGTGTGTTGCCTGAGCTAGGGAGGAACTGTCCTCAGATAAAACCACAGGGGCTACTGAGTGCCAGGAGCTGACTCACCGTCTAACATCATATGGTTCTAGAAGTCTGGTATGGATTCTTCCCTGCAGCTGCATATGTTTACCACCCTCCCCAGTTCTGCTGATCATCCTCTCGGGGATACATCTCTGTTCTGACATAGTCCTGGGATGAACTCTGCTAATTATCAGGTCTAAAGAAGGATACCTTGGGGTCACGGGTGCACAGTTGTGGGTGGCCCTTCCTGACACCCATGGGCATTTTAGCAAGTCTACCTCCTATCTGCTTAGTGGTGACCTGTTTACCCCTCTGACAACAGGCCTGAAAGGCAGCTTGGGATTTCTGGGCCAAGAGACCTGGACCTGAGAGTCAGAAGACCTGGCTGTGATCTGCTTCCACTGCCTGTGGAAGCAGATCAAGCCAGCCTCTCTGAGCTTCAGTGGCTGCATCTGTGAAATGGCACCATAATCATTGCCTATGCAATTGCTGTAGCTCCAATGATCAGCACAAATAGAGCTGAGAGTAGTTTACAAATTGGGATATGCACTGATGCCCCAGGTTGCCCTTGTTAGGGAATGTGGATTTGCGGGCCAGACAGCAGTGGGCAAGTTCCTGCTCTTCCACTTCTTGGTTGTGTAGCTCAGGGCAAGTGCCTTGACCTCCTGAGCTTTGGCTCCTCTTCTGCAGATAATAATAGACACCCATCTCCTAGGATTGTTGTTGGGTATCCACCTGCATCATACCAGATATAAGGGGGCTCCTAAGAAGCCAACAGTTGGACACAGTTCATCAAAACCCCCTGCAGCCTTGGCAGCGAGGGCCAGAGCTCTAGGATCAGATAGAACTGGGCTGGGAGCCTGATGTCCCCACTTGTTCACTGTGACCTCAGTTTGCTCATCTCTGTGATGGGAACACCGTGTGGAGTGAAAGGCCTTAGGGAAAAATGCACAAGCCCACACTTAGCACACAGTTGAGAACTCAATGCATGCCCACTTCTGCCACTATCACTTGGTCATTTGGCCCCTCTAGGCAAGTTATCTGCCTACCTATATTTAGATTAAGTGGGAGTCCACAGCTGTCCCCTGTGCTCCACCCAGACTGAGGTTAGGCAGGTGGGTGCAGAACGTTCTGTCCTGATGTGGCCAAGAACATCTTTGTCCATACTTTGCCCAGCATAAGCCCCAGGCTTTTAAAAAATAGCTGCTTTATGCTGTGCCCAAGCTGATGAAAGGTCAGCAGCTGAGTGTCACCCTGATTGTCTCCTGGGGAGGTGATAACCTTGGCAAGGTGTCACCTTTGTCTAACCAGGGCCTTACCAGGCAAGGGCCTTACCCAGCCAGACAAGGTGTACGAGGTTCTCCAGGCCCTCGATCCTCTCGATGATGTTGTTGTCCAGTTGCAGCTTTCTCAAGTTTTCAAACTGCCAGAGATTGTCGATGCGGAGGATGTCTGAAACGGTGGAGGACGGTGCAGCCTCGGGTTAGGGTTTGGTGCCAGCACACTAGGGGACTGAGACAAATCCCTTGCCCTACTCTGGAGTCTGCAGGTATCCTGGAGGTGTGGGCTGAGCATCAAGGACCACTGTCTCCCTATCAGTGCTTAGTGTTGGTGAGGAACAGGACTGTCACTCAGGGTCACAAGAGGACATAGGTCCACTGGGGATGGGACTAAGCAGGGGTCAGTTGGACCTGTCCAGCGCAGGAGACTCACTCACACTGCCTCTGGGTCAGGCTGGGGGCTCCCCCAGGAGGCTGGTCCACCTTGGAACTCAGGCCAAATCAGGAGCACAAGTGGGTTTTCCACAGTGTGACCAATAGAACCAAAGCCTGGGTCTCTATTGGTGGGAGGATTAATCAATCAGTTCTGACTTTGGCAGGGAGGGTCATTTGGCTACAAGTATTGAAATATTTAATGTCTATGCCCTTTGCCCTTCAATTTTCCTGGAATCTGTCTCCCAAGACATACCAGAGAAATGCCCATGGGCATGCAAGAAGCAGAAAAATAGAGGAGAACCCCCAATTGTCCATGTATAGTAAATGGGATAAATTGCCCCTAAAACAGAGGCATACTCCATTATTACAGAAGTGCTGGGACCCCACAGTCCCTGAAGACCACCCACCCCAGCTCCGCAGCCCACTTATTCCTTTTGCTATGTCAGCCAGAGTTTGGTTTCTGTCCCTGACAGCCAGAAGAGGTCTGAGAAGCACATACATATAAACAAGTTGATATTCTATATGTGAAATTCTAGAGACTAATCTTGTTCTCCTCCTGCTTTCCCCAGAAGCTACATATAACTCTGTTTATACATCTCTTTTTTCTATATTTGCTTTTGCAGTGCTTTCCAATTATAAGATTACAATATGCTCATTTAAAGAAGTAAAATAATGTAGACATAAGGGTATTTTTTTTAAGTATCCAGGGATACTCTAACAGGGCTGGGAATAATACATTCTGGGAATGCCCAGCATAGTAAGACCCTGGGTTCACTCCTCAATATCACAAAAAATAAAAATTATATAATTAAAAAATACCAATAATCGCACATTTGGGTGGCAGTTTCAATATTTGTTCGTAGAGGCAGGGCCTACTGGTACCAGGTCTTGGAGGGGTGGCCAGGATCCTCGGACCCAGGGCTGCGAGGGCCCACCAGTCCCCTGGAGCTGCATGCTCCCTTCAGCCCCTCTCTTAGGTCCCAGGGCTGGACAACACTGGAACTGTCCATCAGCTGCCTGTTTGTGGCCAGATTTCCCAGACGGCTATCAATCTCCATCCCCACCTGTGCTTCCGGGTGGGACCCAGTTCTGCTCCAGGCTCCCAGCTGCCTCCCATCCTCAGTCAGGATTTTCCAGGCACCTGCTCTAGCCCTGATTTTTGGACTCACAGCTGCACACCCCCATTTTGCCCTTGGCCATGGTGGTTTCCTGCATAGCCACTTCTTCTGGGTGGCTCCTGCACATCTGGGTGCCCTGCCACAAGCACCTGTGCAGACATTTGCCTGGGTATCGGTAGTTCATGTGGAAAAGCCAAAACGACACAGTGAACCAGGCTGTGTTCGGCAGTTGGCTCCAAATGAGTTACTGGCATGCTGGGGTTGCCGCCGAAGCCAGTTTAATCTTTAACACAGACAGCGGATCCATCGTCATCATTCCCTGGGCCACAGCAGTGGCCATCTCACTAGATTCCTGCTTTTGGCCCTGCAGCCAGCGGGGTCCTGTTCTGTCTTGTGAGAACACAAGTACCATCCTGTCCTGCTTCAGATCGGGACTCTCCCAGGTTCCCACCTCACTCACTGTAAAAGCGAAATACTTTCCACTGGCCCCAAGGCCAACACCAGCTGCCCCAAGACCTCTCTGACCTGTCTCCACAGGGTTTCCTCAGTGGGCCTGCTCAGGCTTGCTCTGTCTGCTCGCCCTGTCTCACACACTTTTGCTAGTGGATCTCCCTCACCTCCTTCAAGTCTGTGCTCAATTGTCACCTTGGCAAGGCCTCTGATCACCCAGAAAGTACTGCACCCCATCCTGTTTCTTTTTTACCATAGCACACATTACCTTTAACATATATTTTCCTTGTTATATTTATTTGTTTCCCCCACTTGAATGTCAGCTCCATGAAGATAAGGCTCTTTGTCCTTTGGGCTCCCAGCTGAAACCTGGTGCCTAGAACAGTACCTGGCACATAACAGGCACTTGCTCAATATCGGCTGAATGAAACTTTAGATGGGGAAGCAGGAAGCAAAAGCAAGGCAGTCAGGTGCTAAGGCCCAATCCTGCCGCAGCCCTTCTACATCTTTTCCTCCTCTCAGAGCTTAGGGACTACAGTTCACGGCCTTCCCAGCTCTGGGGAGTCATCCCTGGAGGTCACACCCTGGGAGGCCTGTGGGATTTGTGAACCTGGCCCTGGCAGGACCTGTCTTGCCCACTGCTGTGTCCCCGGGGTTTGGTGCAGAGCCCTGCTGAGGTAATGTCTCAATAACTTCTTGTTGACTGGTTGCCTGGCCAGCCCCATGGCAGAGAAAGAATGTGAATCCTGCAAGGTCACTCTACTGTGGCCTCACCTGCACAAAACACAGGGGTCTAGAGATCCTGGCCCACCTCTCCCCTTCCTCTTGCATCTCCTCTGTGCTGACTCCCTGGGCCACGGCTTCCTGGGACATGACTTGCTGGCCTTCCAGCCTAGTCTGGGCAGTGTGCATGTCTTGCCTCACTTGTTCCCAGCCAGCACTTGGGAGAGGGAGGACAGGCACCCCATCTCACAGATGAGGTCTCTGAGGCAGTGAGGCTTTGTCTGTTCACCAGCCATATCTTCTCCCTGGAATATCCTGTCACTACTGAAATGTTTCTCTGCTTCCAGGCCCTATGTCCCTCCTGTTTCCAGTCCCTCTCTGGTTAACCTAGTGCTGGCTCCTCCTCCTCCTCATGCTTCCCACTTTAGCTCCTGGCTATATGGGACCTCCTAAGTTCTGCCTGCCAGGGAGCCCCTACTCTGAGGACACCAGTGCAGAGTTGTGTGACAGAAACAGCGTGGTCTTTGGGGTTTGCTTTGATTTGGAATGGGACAATTTTATCTTTTTTTTCTGTTTTTATTCAGAATCAGGGGTGTCATGGATGCTCAAATGATGATAACACTTGGTATGAAACTTTAAATATGTCCATGCTGGGCTGGGGGTGTAGCTTAATTGTAGACTGCTTGCCTAGCATGCTTGAGGTCATGGGTTATATCCCCAGCACTGCAAAAAAAAATTTTTAATGTCCATGCAGCGGGTATAGTTCAATGGTAGCCCACTTGCCTAGCATGCTTGAGGCCATAGGTTTAATCCCTGATACTGCAAATAAATAAATAGACCCATGCTGCTCACATGCCTTGGAATTCAATGAGCCTTAATGCTGGTGTGGGTCTTTTTTTTTTGTACGGGGGATTGAACTCAGGAGCACTGAACCACTGAGCCATATCCCCTGCCCTTTTTTGTATTTTATTTAAAGAGAGGGTCTCACTGAGTTGCTTAGTGCCTTGCTAAGTTACTGAGGCTGGCTTTGAAGTAGTGATCCTCCTGCCTCAGCCTCCCCAGCCACTGGGATTACAGGCATGCACCACTGTGCCCGGCTTAATGTGGGTCTTTGGATCATGGAATTCTGGGGCTTTAAGGTAGGGCAGAGAAGGCCACTTGGGTGTCCCCAACCCACCCTGTATCAACCCTAGGCACCCAGGATACGTACTTTGAAAGTCCAGCTGCAGGGACATAACATCTTTGAAGAGGATGCCCTCCTGCTTGGCCAGCTGCCCAGCTTCCTCCCGTGGACCCTGCTCCCCCACAGCCACCTTGAGCATGTCGTCGTCTATCACTCTCGGCTCCATCGAGTCGTACATCCGGTTCATCTTTCCTAAAACACCACATTTCTCTTTCACAGCCTGCCTTTTACTTGTTTGAGGACAGAATCTGGCTGAGGTCTCCTCTTTAGGGGTCAAAGGTCATCAGGGAAGCCATGGACACTTTGAGGGCTGCCAGTCACATCCCTCAGCTTGCTTGTACCTCAGAGATAACACATTTGCAAGAAGATCACTCCAGGTTTCCCAGCAGCCATCTGAGCCTTTCTGCAGAATTCATTTCTTGACCCCACAACCACAGCTGGGGCCATACCTGGACTGATGTCTACACTGGTCTCCTCAGTCCATGGTTCTCACCTTCCCTCAAGGCCATAGCCCCATATCAGGCTTCTGACTTTCCGTTCCCATCCTCATTCAGGTCTCTTAGTGCAAACCACTGACTATGCTCCCTTGGCAGCCCCAGCCAGGTGAGCCAGCCTGCAACGCCCCTCCTCTAAGGAACTCATTCCACACAGGCAGTTGTGTGGGTGTTTCCCAGCCCCTACAAACTGTCCGCCAAGGGAGGTGCTGACCCAAGCTGGCCAGTCATGCTTTCCCCCTGAGAAGTGGGTGCTTTCCCCCTGAGAAGCAGGCAACTCCCTCAGGTTGGAAGTGCTTATTGGATCTGGCTGCTTGATTAGGGAGGAACTAGGGAGCCATGGGCTGGTCAGACACATGGTTAAGTCAAGAGAGTAAGCGGGGATGTGGTGGATGTACAGAGAGAAGCAGAGATGGGAAATTGCGTAATCCACACGAAAAAGACAAAGGACAGATGGAATCTGCCTTCTTCTTGCTAGCTTTTCAGTCCCTAATGTCCCTAAGTCTCAACCCCATGCAAGTTTCTGTGTCCTTTTTGGAGAGCATTTCCTGATTTCCTGCATTAAATCCTCTTTAACGTAAGCCAACTCTGGTAGGTTTCTTTTTTAAAAATTTTATACACACACACACACACACACACACACACATTTAGTTGTTGATGGACCTTTATTTTATTCATTTATTTACATGTGGTGCTGAGAATCGAACCCACTGCCTCACACATGCTAGAAAAGCATTCTACCACTGAGCCCCAACCCCAGCCCTCTGGTAGTTTTCTGTTGCTAATGGTCCAAGGGTTTCTATGAGACACTGCAGGCAGAGGTGGGGGATCCGAGGATTTGGTTAGTCACTTTATAAAACTGACCTGGATTGCTATTCCTGGCTGGACAGAGCTACAGTCCTGGGAATCTGGGGTGCCCTGACCTCATTATCATCATTACCAGCCTCTTAGTGAGAACCACTAATAGGACAGGGCCCTGCAGGAAGCTATGCCCTCTTTCAGTCTACTGAGATTCTGCCTCTGAGCCCTCTGGAGGTCCAGTTCTCTCCTCCTCTCTGCTCCCATCTGCTTCTCACCTCCCTGGTGACCTCACCTTCTACCTGTGCCCACGTGCCTCCCCAACATCCAAGGTATCCCTGAAACTCCTGCTCTCCCACCCTGATGCTAGGCAGCCCCTCTGCTCTGCTCCTGATATTAGACTGATGATGTCCACCATAAACCCTGATTAGTTGGACAAATCTGCCACCTGGCCTTAGACGTTGCCTGCAAAGTCTCCCTTCCCTCTTTCTTCTTCTACCAGCTACTTGGACACAGCTTGGGTAAATGGAGTATCCTCCACTCCTGTAATGTCCCTGGTCAAATATCCTAATGCCTTCAACTCACGCACAGCCTTTCCTTCTTCCCTAGGGGTGGAGGTAGGGGAGGTGGGGGAGACACAGACTCTATAGCCCCCACCCACACTCTGGTGTCTTCTCCATCTGACCTTCCAACCATCAACACACTGGCTTTTACTCTAACTCTCTCCACACTGGTTCTACCTCCTCAGGGTGAATGATTCAACCTCCAGTGATGTTTCTAGCCCTTGTCTCTCCTCTCTCTCTTTCTAGCTTTTCACTCTTCTGAAATGGTTTTCAAATAACTTGCTAACAATTTATTTTAGGAAATTTAAATGTACTGTGTTTGTAAATGTTACTTGCAAAGTATTTTAGGCTTTTTTTTTTTAAAGGGCTGCTTTACTTCAGGAAATAAACCATAATTCTGATGTCAAAACTTTGTGACTTCTCAGGCTGGGATGGTAGCTCAGTGGTAGAGTGCTTGCCTAGCACATGTGAGGCACTGGGTCTGATCCTTAGCACCACATAAAAATAAATAAATAAATAAAATAAAGGTATTGTGTCCATCTACAACTAAAAAAAATAAACAAATAAACAACAACAACAAAAAAAACCCTCTTTGACTTCTCATCCCTCTTACTTCATCAAGAGCTGGTTCTTGGGACAAATCAAGCATGCTTTCAATCAAGCCCAGAAACTGCTATGCAATGAGGGATTAAACTAACTAGAACACCAAGGGCAGGATCTGGATTCTGACTGTGTCTCCTTTGGCAACTCCTTTCACTGGCAGAAACCTCTGCTTTTCAATCTGTCAAAGATGTATAATTCCTCTCTCCTATGTTTTTGTTAAGACTATGTGTTGAGTCCACCCATGTCTCCTGAATAACTACTACCTACCATGAATAACAGATCATCTTACCGCTGTTTTAGACATGAAACAAGTAATCATACAAATATTTAGTTATAAATCATGAAAAGTTTGTAGGTGTAGAGAACTACAAAAGCATACATTAAGGGAAACCTGGCCTCACCAAGAAAGGGCTGAGATCTGAAGGACCAATAGGAAAGAAGGGAGAGGGAACTGCATGGGGAGGGCTCTGAGATGGGAGAGAACAGGCGTGCTCCACTTTGTGTGATATGATACAAGCTTGGAGAGGCCTGTAGGAGTTGTATTATTATCCTAAGGCCCTGAGAAAGCTCATAGGGCTTAATAAGGGCAGTGACATAATCAGATTTTAATTTTAAGGATTTCATCCCTAGCGGCAGTACTGAGAATTGCAAAAGTAGTGAGGTTAGAGATGACCAGGGATAGCGCTAAGATGTGGATTTGAGACATTTCTAGTTAATTTATATGTACGATTGATAATCCCCAGTTTCCAGAAAAGAAAACAAGCTAGTTAAGCTGGGTGTAGTGATGAATGCCTATAATCTCAACAACTCAGGAGGCTGAGGCAGGAGGATCATAAGTTTAAGGCCGGTCTGGGGAACTTAGTGAGACACTGTCTTAAAATAAAAAGTGCTAAAGATGTAGTTCAGTGGTAGAGCACCCCTGGGTCAATCCCTAGTACTTCCCCACAAACACAAAGAAAGAAAAGAAAGCAGGGAAAAATAAAAACAGAAGCTAGTTAGAAAAGCCAATTAGTATGCCAAAGTTTATACATCTAGAATATGGCAGAACCTATTTTCCTAATCATGGCTCCATTGTACCCAGGTTACTAGGGATTATTATTGCCATAATTCACTATGTTTCTCCCAACCGCTCTGGGTCAGAGACAAAGCCCAAACAGTCCTCCCCTATAGGGATTTTATCAGTAATTTACCACCCAAACTGAGTCCCTGTTGAATTACCTAATGACAGTGTTGTTGGTGACCAACACAGGTAGCAGGTGGGGACGCAGCAGTTTTTACAAACCTGTCAATGAAGTGATCTCCTCACACAGAAATGGATCCGGATTTTCCTGGGAAACAATAAACTGGATGAATTAAATCTGAGGAGTAGAGACCTTATCAGCCATGAATTAATAAGAAGAAAACCAACCTCCTACTGAGTACTTAATGTGCATTCTGTGCACACAAATTATTTAATTACATGTCAGTTTCAGAAGTTATTAAAGAAGGGAGTCCTATAGTGCTCTTATTTCCCAGATAGGGAATCTGAAGCCCTGAGAGTGGGAGGAACTTGTCCAAACTCACACAACAAATTACTGACAGACATAGAATTTGAGTATCCATATTCCCAGTCCAAGCACTTTATACTGCACCAAATAAACTAACTTAATGAGATTTATGAGGTAGGATCCGATAGCTAAATTCTGGAAGAAGTTATCAGTGGATCTGGGTGAAACAGTTAATCTGTTTCTAATGAAACAGATTGGGCAGGAGGCTGGGGAATGGAATCCCTTAAAATCCTTTCCGACCCTTACTCCTTCAAGAAGCACTCCCTTAGCAATTTCTCCTCTGAAGACCTGAAAAGTCCACGATTAAAGTATCTTAGCTGTCTGGTAGAGAACATGTGTTCCTATTTTACAAATGAAAAGGGCCAAGCCGTAATCCTTAGAGAGAGGGGTCACAGTCGGCCGCTCTCGCCCCTGAGGGTCCTCATGGAGCCTCAATTCCCGGGTCTCACCTTCTCAAGCACCAGCTATCGGGCTAGTTCCCTGCAGCAGAGGCGTCTCTCGGTTGCTGGGGAAACAAGCGCCGCCACTCGGTTGCTAAGAGGAAGCAGGAGGTAGACATCCTGGGTGAAAGTTGACGGGTCACGTGATCACGTGTCTGGGTGGGAAATACTCCAAACACCAACCAGCCGTAGAGAAAACAAATGTTTCTCCAATCAGCACTACTGTGGGCGGGCAACTCCCTAGGTCCACCTCTTCCCCGTGTCTGTTTTGAGTGATTGACTCATATTTTGTCCAATAACAGTAGGATTTACCTAGATTGACCAATTTACAGATGAATCAAAAAACACAGCCCCTGTTTCGGAGGCGGGCCAGGGGAGGTGCCGCTACGCCTGACGGGGACTCCAATGACCTAGCTTGGTCCTCGACCCAATCAGACTCCGTTTGGTGGGCGGGACTTCGATGAGGGCTGTGTAAAGGCCAATCGGAGGGAAGACTGTGGAGGCGTTGTCCAATAGAGACGCGATAGGAGGGCGGGGCTAAAGGCCCGGCGCTCGGCGTTCTGGAGGGTGGGGCGGGGGCAAGTGTCAGTCTGGTTGGGAGCGCGGCTGGGCACAGCGGAGACCGCGGCGGCAAACAGGGCGTCAGCTGCCGTGTTGTCGGCCCAAGATGGAGTTCCTCCTGGGGAACCCGTTCAGCACCCCTGTGGGGCAATGTCTCGGTAAGGCTGCGCTTGCGGCGGACGGCTTGGGTGGCGGCTGACCGGGCTGGACCGTGGGCCTCTGCCGGCTCCTGTGGCACCTCACAGGTGGACCAAGCATCCTTGTTGTTGAATCTCTGCGGGGTGGCGATGCTTCCTCACGTGAGGGTTGGATCTCTTCCAGGAACCGGTGTCACCTCTCGGGTGGACCTGGCATCCCTGTTGTCGGTCCTCTGCCTAGCGCTGGTGCCACCTCACGAGTGGGCCGGCCGTCCTTGTCTTCCAGCTTCTGTCTGGCGCCAGTGCCACCTTGCCAGTGGGCTGGGTCTCATCTGGGCGCCGGTGTCACCTCATGGGCAGAGCAAGTGTCCATCCTTCTCTTGGGGCCTCCACCTGGCACTGGTGCCACTTCACCGGGCCACCTTCCAGGAGGCCCCTGAGGCCCAACTTGGACCCAGAGACTCTCCCTGCCTCCCATCAGAGCCTAGCCCTTCTTTCTTTCCTGAGGTGGTACCAACTGCTGGTCTGTTTACCTCTCACCTATTGGGAGATGCCACTGCCTTATCAAGCCCAGCATCTTGCTGTCCCCTGCCCCCACCACCCCGCAAGGACCTGGTTTTCCCAGACCTCCTCTTTCCATATGTCTCCCTTCTCTTTGATACCTGCGGACTCAGACTGTGCACCCTCCCAGAAATTGCCCCCTGCTCTGAGACTTACTAATTGGAGCTGCAACTCTATTAGGATGTAGGAAGAACTGGTTGGGGGAGGGGTTCTTGGAGGATGATTATCTTTTAAGCGGGGTGGCATGGTGCCTCCCAGGAAAGAAGGGAGGCTGTGTTGTTTAATGATAAGAGCACTCCATTGGGAATCAGGAAACCGGCACTCAACTAGTGGCATTGCCAGTGATTTTTCCTATGACCCTGTGCCCTTTGTGGTTTGAAGTTCCCTTGTCTGTAAGGTGAAGTGTTTGGAGGTGAGATGTGATAGGTCCCTTCAGATTTCAAAGTTTTGATATTTCTTGTAGTAGTCTCTGCACATTGACTGTTGTTTCCCCTGCTATATTAAATTTTCCAAAGTGGAACCTTTTGTTGTCACTATACAAGAGAGTGATCCTACTCTACAGTATCTGTCAATCCTATAAGGGGGCTTTGGGGACCCAGTCAAGGGTGCCAGAGTACATCCCGGATGGAGAAAGCACAAAGTAGGTGAAGGAACCCTAAAGTGGCCACACTATGGGATTTTCTTACAAAAAACAAAAGCAGCTTACCTCCTGAGGATGTCCTTCAGCAGTAGAATGTGTGCTTAGCCCTCGGTTCCATCCCCAGCATGGCAAAAATAAGAGTAATAATAATAAATAAGATTAAAAACAACTTGTGCCTTTTCACTCAAGGCAGGAGCTTATGCCAAGTGATCACTCAAGAATGCTGATTAGTTTCTTTTAAAATAAGGTTCCACCCAGTTGGTTGAAGGACTGGTAAAACACCTTTTATGAACAGGGACCTTTGGTGTCCGTATGAGCCCGACTGGTTTAGGCAGTAGTGATTTGTTTATTTCCTGCTTTATGAATTTCCAGCTGACTTTCTAGCCTTTACTGGGGCCAGTAAAGTTAGTGAGGCCTCTTCTGTTAGCTATTTGACATTTAGGAGCTTTTCTTTCCTTTCTGATAAAGTATCTTTTATGAAGAATTGCGGACACTGGGCCTTGAAAGAGCTGTTTCCCACAATTCCAACACTTTGTCCCAGCTGCCCACTTGAATGTCTCTCTGGATTTTCACTCCTTTCTTCTTCCTCTTTTACTTTTTTACTTTCCTCAGGTGTTCTTTCACTGCATCCATGTTCCCAAGATTCATTTCTCAGCTGGGTGTTGAATTCTAGCTAGTTATGGAGGGAACCAGTAAACTTGGGGGAATTTTTTTTTCTTTTCTTCTCTCTTGTAAGAGGAAGTTCTACATCTTTAAAATGCCAAGGTGGTTATGAAAAGTAGCATGTAGATGAGAGGAAGAAATTAAAAGGTACTTTTAATTAAAACTTTTTGTGATGCTGGAAACTGAACCTGGGATCTTCAGCATGCTAAGCAAGTACTCTGTTACTGAGTTATACCCTATCCCAAAGAGGATTTTGAAATATAAGTATAAAGGGGCTGGGGTTGTGGCTCAGTGGTAGAGCGCTTGCCTAGCACATGCGAGGCCCTGGGTTCAATCGTCAGCACCACATAAAAATAAATAAATAAAATAAAGGTATTGTGTCAAACTACAACTAAAAAATAAATATTAAAAAAATATAAGTATAGAGGATAGAGGGATATGTAGTGAGTGAAAAGAGCATGATACTTCCATGAGGAAGATCTGAGTTAAATTTTGGCTTTTCTCAGCTGTGTGACCCCAGAAATTGTGTAACCCTGCTGAGTCTTAGTTTGTCTATCTGCTGGGGGTGGGGAGCAGGGGAGAGGGATATTTGTACTCACAGAGTAGGGTAATTTATTTTTTAAATTTTTAAAAATTTTTAATTTTTTCCACATTTTTATTGGTTCATTATAGTTATACATAATGATGGAATCTGTTGTTATGTATTCATACATGCATACAATAATATAACAATATAATTTCGTCAATCTCAATCCCTAGCACTTCCTCCATAATAGTACAGTTTGAACGAGATGATGTCTAGAAAACTTTAGCATTGTATCTGGAACATAATAAATGCTCAATAAATCACAGTTTTCTCTGTTAACAATAGAATGAGTCAAGACTGAATTTTTTTCCAAGAGAGGGTATGTGATACAACTGGCCCATTGGTGATGTGTGAAGAAAAATACCCTTCCAGTGTTCACTATTGTTTATAAGACATTTGACCATGAAGATGATGAAAATTTACTGTTGTCAGGTAGCCAATAGGCAAGGTCTCAGTCATTTCAGTTCGATTCCAATAAATTATTAGCCCACAGAATGAAGTTCTGATGTATGTTCTGTACTGTTGTGACTAAGTGTAAAAATGATTTTCTTGACATTTAGTATTGTTAGTATTTTTTTAAAAGTATGTGCCAGGAAATGGGTAGGAGGGAAAGGAATATAGAAATAAAATAACAACAAAGCCAATGAGAAAAATAATTGTAGCTATAGCTTGCACAAAGCAATTCTGCAGCCATCATTTGCTCCTTTTAGATCTTCTATGGATAAGTTTTATTGCTTTCCCACTTTAGAGTTGAGGAAACTGAGGCTCCGAGAGGTGAAATGACTGCTTAGCTGGTAAAAGAGCTGGGATGTCATACATGGCCCTGTTATCAAGGGATTTACAGTTTCAGACAAGAAAACAGATGCATGGAATGATGATATAGTACAGATTATAAGTGCAGTAGGAGTTCAGAAGAATTCAGATGAGAGCCAGGCATGGTGGTGCATGCCTGTAACCCCAGCTACTTGGGAGGCTGAGGTAGGAGGATTACAAGTTTGAGGCCAGCCAAGGCAACTTGAAGAGATCTGTCTCAAAATAAAAAATAAAAATAGGACTGGAGATGTAGCTCAGAGGTAGAGGGTCCTTGTGTCCAATCTCCAGTACTGAAAAGAAAAAATGTGGAATTCATATGAGACTGGGGTGACAGGGACTGGTTCCTTTGGGGGCTGTTTGTGAAGGATAGGCAAGAACTTTGAAGGCTGAGAAGAGAATCCCCTGGGCCTGGGGGCAGTTAAATAGGATGAGAAAGAAAGGGAAAGTAGGGACACATCTAGGATCACCAGTCTGAGTGGAGCAGAGGTGGCTGTTGGTAATATTGGCAAGTAGGGTTTGAGTGACAGGATAAAGCTCTGCTTTGGATGGGACACATAAAGATGACATTCTTTCACTTGCTGCAACTTTGACTATGTGGACCTTGTTTTCTCCACGCATAAAATAATACTTCTCATGAGCTGCCTCAGATTTGTACCTAAATAATTCTTCTATATAGTTCAGTAGGGTATTCATGAGTACTTGTTGGGTGCCAAGGCCTGTGCTAGACGCTGGGGATGCAAATGTTAAAAAGTAGCTCCTTGGTAACCTTGAATAGAAAAAGTACCGTGACCATTGAAGGGTCCTGGGGCAGAGTAGTTGGTGAAGTGATTATGACTGTCTCATGCCTGAGCTTTACATGGGGGTGCTAACTTGGTGCTGTAAAGTCAAATACATAGCCTGCACATCTGAAGCTAGCCACCTAGACCACAGTCTGACATAGTTATTTGTGCATTTATTTTTCTTCTTTTTTTTTTTTTCCCAATGCTGGGTATCAAACCCAGTGCCTCATGCATACTAGGCATGTGTGTATTTGTTCTGGAAGGTGATTCATGAGTAGAATTCATGGTTGAGAGAGAGAGAGAGAGAGAGAGAGAGAGAGAGAGAATATATGAATGAACGAGAATGCAATGGTGTTAAAGGCTAAGAAGTGTGGAAGAAAAGAAAT